GGGCTGCAAATATCTCTTTGAGATCCCCTTTTCAGTTCTTTTAGGGATATACTCAGAAGTAGAATTGCTGGATCATATGATAATTCTATTTTTAATTTTTTTGAGGTCCCTCCGTACTGTTTTCCAGAGCAGCTTCACCATTTTATATTCCCATCAGCAAGGCACAAGGGTTCCATTTTCTCCACATCCTCACCAACATTTCGTTTCTTTTTTCTTCTCTTTGTTTCTTTCAATAATAGCCATCCTCATTGTGGTTTTGATTTGCATTTCTGTAATTAGTGATGTTGAACATCTTATAATATGCTTGTTGGTCTGTTGAAGGGTGATTCAAAAGGTGCATTTCCAGGACTCTGAGGTCTGTGTATAATTAAATATTTATTACAAAGCATTTTTGCAACCCAAGCAGAAGATCTAAAGGGCAGCGGGGAGAGCAGATATTTCTATAGACATTTCACACTAATAGAACCTCAAAGCAAACATTTAGCATTCCCTGCAGGGCCCTGAGCTCAGCTCATTGCATTCTAGCAGCTGCTCTGCAGGGAGGGTGTTGTTGGTTCCAGTGGTGCAGCTCAGGCTGACTCCTTAATCTCCTTTAATGTTCCTCCCACCCACCATTCTGGATAAACATATCACTGACATTTTTTTAAAAAATGTTCTCTTCTGCAAACACAGACTCAAACAGTGCTCTGGGCACCACCCTTCCTGCAACTAGATTCTTTTCCTTAAACTTTCTGGGAAGAAACCATTGACCCAGAATTACAGGCATTTAAACCAGACTGGGAAATCTCAAAAACCCTTGGGGTTTCCATGCATGATTTAAGGATAACAAGACTTGAAAATAATGTAGAGGACAGGGAGGAAGCCACACAGAGTGTACCACTCGAGAAATAAGTGGCCACGCTATTCAGAAGGCCACAAACTTACTGTGCTTGGTATGCCAAACAGGCCAACGGAAATGTCCTATTTGTGGACATTCGCCCCCAAACATTTCCATTTCCGTTTTTAGTGCGACCCACCCCTACCTTTTTCCCCCACATTTTTTTTTCATTCACTTTGTTCTTTGTTTAACCACGCGTGAGTAAGGCATGGCCACATTTCGTGGCGCCTTTACCAGCTCTCAGCTGCTGCTCAAAGGTGGGGGGCGGGGAGCCAGCTGCATACGCCGCAGCCTGTCTTGACTCTCAGGGGAAAACTCTTTGAAATTATTTTTGTAACTTTGTATGATGATGTATCACTGGGACTTTTTTTAAGGCTTTATTTTGGTGATAGAAGTAGTTTATAGGCCTGTAATCCTAGCACTCCTGGAGGCGCCGAGGTGGGAGGATCACTTGAGCCCAGGAGTTTGAGGTTGCAGTGAGCTATGATCACAGGCAACAGATCATGACCCTGCCTCCAAAAAAACAAAAACACAAAAAACATCTAAGATATCATAAGCATCAATGGATGTTGGCTACTATTATAAATGTTTAATAGGCCAGGCGCCAGGCTCAGGGCTGTAATCCTAGCACTCTGGGAGGGCGAGGTGGGCAGATTGTCGAGGTCAGGAGTTCGAAACCACCTGAGCAAGAGTGAGACCCTGTCTCTACTTATAAGAAATTAATTGGCACATATATATAAGAAAAATTAGCCAGGCGTGGTGTTGCATGCTTAGTTCCCAGCTACTCGGGAGGCTGAGGCAGGAGGATCGCCTTCAGCCAGGAGTTTGAGGTGTCTGTGAGCGAACTGACACCATGGCACTCACTCTAGCCTGGGCAACAAAGTGAGACTCTGTCTCAAAAAAAAAAAAAGTGTTAATAAACCTAACTATTAGATTCCTTATAGAATCTGATAATCTGTTGGTAGGTAATCATGGCCTTTCTCTCTGCATTGGAAATTTTGAAAACAATTATGAGTTATAGCAGAGGTTCTTAAAGTGTGGTTTCAGGACAGCAGGACAAACATCACATCACCTGGGAACTTTTTAGAAATGCAAAATTCTTCGAACCACTGAATCAGAAACTGTGAGGGTGGACCTCCATAATCTGTGTTTTAACCAGCACTCTAGCTGCAGTGAGCTATGATCACGCCACTGCACTCCAGCCTGGGCCACAGATGGAGACTTTTCTCAAAAACAAAACAAAAATAACAAGCCCTCTAGGTAATTCTGATGCATGCTCAAGTTTGAAAATAAGTAAGTAATAGCATAATGTTCAAGAGAGTGGGTTCTAGAGCCAGACCACAAGAGTTCAAATCTTGGCTCTGCCACTTGCAAGCTGTGTGATATTAGGCAAGCAACATTATCCTCCACCCCAGAGCTCAGTTTTCCCAACTGTAGAATGGGGATAAAGATAGAATGCAGGCCGGGCGCGGTGGCTCAAGCCTGTAATCCTAGCACTCTGGGAGGCCGAGGCGGGCGGATTGCTCGAGGTCAGGAGTTCGAAACCAGCCTGAGCAAGAGCAAGACCCCGTCTCTACTATAAATAGAAAGAAATTAATTGGCCAACTAATATATATACATATAAAATTAGCCGGGCATGGTGGCGCATGCCTGTAGTCCCAGCTACTCGGGAGGCTGAGGCAGAAGGATTGCTTGAGCCCAGGAGTTTGGGGTTGCTGTGAGCTAGGCTGACGCCATGGCACTCACTCTAGCCTGTGCAACAAAGTGAGACTCTGTCTCAAAAAAAAAAAAAAAAAAAAGATAGAATGCAGGCTGGGCGTGGTGGCTCACGCCTGTAATCCTAGCATTTTGGGAGGCTGAGGCAGGAGCATTGCTCAAGGTCATGAGTTGGAAACCAGCCTGAGCAAGAGTGAGAGACCCTGTCTCTACTAAAAATAGAAAGAAATTAATTGACCAACTAAAACACACACACCACACACACACACACACCACACACCACCTGCCGGCATGCGCGGCGCATGCCTGTAGTCCCAGCTACTTGGGAGGCTGAGGTAGGAGGCTCGCTTGAGCCCAGGAGATTGAGGTTGCTGTGAGCGAGGCTGACGCCAGGGCACTCACTCTAGCCTGGGCAACAAAGTGAGACTCTGTCTCAAAAAAGAAAAAAGAAAAAAACAAGATAGAATGCACTTCCTAGGATTGTTGTAAAGTGTTTAAAACAGCATCTGGCACATGGTGAGTGCTTAGTAAACGTTGGGTATTGTTATTATAAACTCTTTTTTTATTGTTTTTCCTTGAGACAGAGTCTCACTCTCATGCTCTGGCTCAAACTCCTGTGCTCAAGCTATCCTCTTCCCTCAGCCTCTCCAGTAACTGGGACTACAGGCACATCCCACTATGCCCAGCTATTTGTTGCTGTTTTTAGTAGAGACAGTGGACTTGCTCTTGCTCTTGCTCAGGTTGGTCTTGAGCTCCTGGCCTTGAGTGATCTTCAAGCCCCAGTCTCCCAGAGCACTAGGATTACAGGCCACCTTGCCCGACCTGTTTTTAATTTTGATATAGTCCAATATATGTTTTTTTTTTTTTTTGCTTTTGTCTGTGCTTTTGCTATCCTATCTAAAAAATATTGCCAAATCCAATGTCTTGAAACTTTTCTCATGTTTGCTTCAAAGAGTTTTATAGTTTTAGGTCTTAGGTTTAGGTCTTTGATCCATTTTGAGTTAATTTTTATATATGGTATAAGGAGAGGGCCCAACCTCATTCTTTTGTATGTGGATATCTCATTTTCCCACCACTATTTGTTGAAAAGCCCCTTCCCCATTACTTGCCTTGGCAGCCTTATTGAAAACTCTTTGACCACATATGTAGGAGTTTGTTTCTGAGCTCTATATTCTATTTTTTTTCCATTCATTTTCATGGCCGAATAATATTCCATTGTGTGGACAGTCCCTGTTTTATTTATGGTGATCATAATATTTTATCTCAGTATTTCATCCCTTGATGTTGTCACTTCTGTGATCTGTGGCCCTATTGAACCCTTTGCCCAGGAACTTCGTTTTGATTATTAAACATCGACCCCTCTTGAAAATAGAATCTGATTTGTTTGTTTGCATTGCTTTTTGTTTATTTGGTTAATGTTTGTGCATTCTCCATTGAGATTCCAGAACCTCAGCGTGGGGAAAATTGGGTCCATCCATCCCAAAGTAAGCTGCCAGTACATCCCTGGGAAAAACAAGCTTCATTCCACACTTGCTGCCGACAACTGTTAAACCCTCTAATCAAACCTAAAGTAAATAACTCAAGTCTCCTAAGCCATACTGCTAATATTCTCAGCAATACCGACCCTGAGTTGTGTGTAGAATGATTTCTGATTTTCAAAGCAGTGATTTTTGTTTTGTTGATTACTCCTCCTACTCCCGCCCATGTGGCACATGCAATTCCTCCATAACGCTTGTGGAAGAAAAGAATAAAGGACTGCAATTTTTATCTGAGTGCTTCTTAAGTGCTTGATCACACACATCATCTCAAAGTTCCACGTATTCCTTGGCAGCAAGCCTACCGTGCAGGTCCTACGATTTGCCCCCATTTTACAGAGGAGGAAACTGAGGCTTGGAGGAGCCAAGTAACTCGCCAAGGTCACACCACTGGTTACGCGGAGGAGCCCAGGAGTCATCGAAGTGAGTAGCGGAGGGGTTCTCCATTTCATGGAGGGTCAGAGTGGAAGCGGAAGGCAGATGGCCCAGGTCCTGGTGACAATGTGCCTGGGAGCCCTGCATAAGAACCTCGAGCGTGGGAGCCTGCGGTTCGCGCGCACGCAGCCCACAGCAGCGGCTTTCCGTTTTGCTGCAGGCCCCCCAAAAACACCGGACCTTCCGTCACGTACGATGCAAAGTCCATGGCTGGAAATCCTGAGTGCGGAAAGGAAAAAAAGTTGCGTCGCTTTCGCCCTCTTTCTCCGACTGCCCTGGGGAAACTCCGCCCGCGTCTCCACGGACACGCGGCGACCCGGCGGCGGCCAGGGGCGGAGCGCGGCGCGGCCCCTCCTCCCGGCCCTCCGCGCCTCCCCTCCGCCGCCCATCCTTCCCGTCGCCCGTCCCGAAGCGCCCGCGCAGGCGCGCCAGCGCGGGACCGTGCGCCTGCGCGCTCCCCGGGCCCGCGCCTCGCCCGCGCGCGCCGGCGGCCTGCGTCTCGGCCCGAAAGTTGTGGGCCCCGGGAGGAAGTTGAGCCTGCGGGGCTCAACGCTCGGAGAAAGCGGCCCCGCAGGCTGCGGGGGTCCGGGTGGCCATGGAGGAGCCCCCTCTGCGAGAGGAGGAGGAGGAGGAGGAGGAGGATGACGACGAGGAGAGGGACGAGGCCGGGCCCGAGGGCGCGCTGGGCAAGAGCCCCTCGCGGCTGACCGCCGAGGACGTGTACGACATCTCCTTCGTGGTGGGCCGCGAGCTGATGGCCCTGGGCAGCGACCCGCGCGTGACGCAGCTGCAGTTCAAAATCGTGCGCGTCCTGGAGATGCTGGAGGCGCTGGTGAGCGAGGGCAACCTGACGGCCGAGGCGCTGCGCATGGAGCGGGACAGCCTCAGGAAGGAGGTGGAGGGGCTGCGGAGAGAGGGCCCGCCCGCCAGCCGCGAGGTGAGCGTGCGCGAGGTGAGCGTGCGTGTGCGTGCGGGGCGGGCGGGGGCCTGGACACATCCGCGTGAACATGCAGCGCTCACGTTGGATGCCTTATGCGCGTCCACGTTTATTGAGCACGTACTAGGTGCCGGTTCCTACACTGGAGGCCCCCCCCATCATCTTTGACCCTGCCCTGGGGCAGTGGCTCTTAAGCTCCAGCGTGCGCTGGAGTGACCTCGAGTGGCCCTCACGACACACGTCGCCAGGTGCCAGCCCGGAGTGTCTGACTCTGCGGGTCTGTAGTGAGACTGAGAATCCGCATTTCTAACCCGCCCCCAGCTGCTGCTGGCGCTGTGGGTCCTGGCACCACGCTTTGAGAACCTTTGACCCAGAGTACGAAACACATTTTAACTAACGAGAAATTAGTGAGTGTTCCCATGATAAGACGTGGACTAGAAGACTTATCCACAGCAGCTTTGGTCATCATTGTGCCAAACTGGAAACAATGCGCATGGAACAGAATAGAGTTTTAAAGTTGTGGTCTATTCCTACAATGGAATACTACACAGTGATGAAAAAGAACAGAGAACTGATACACACAACAGTGTGTATGAATCTCACAGACCGTTACATGGAGACAAAGAAACCAACACAAAAGAGAATCTACTGCATATTTACATAAAATTCAAGAATGGGCAAAATAATCTTTAGTTATAGAAGGCAGAATGGCGGAGGAGGACGCAGGAGGGAATTTGAAGGAGAGCTAGAAATGTCCCACGCCTTAATCAGGGTGTGGTTCTGCAGGTCTATACATGTGTTAAAAATCACCAAGCTAAAAACTCAAGATTAGTGCATTTTACTGTATGTATACCACAAGTTTACCCAGTGACATTTCACGTCACTATGCAACCGCACCGGGCCTCCCTTTCCATTTTTTTAAGAGTTCAGTTTTTTATGGAACATGTTAGAAAAGAGGTTTGGTCAACAAGACCAAAGGCCATGTCACCATTAGATTCCTCACATTGTTTCTTGGCTTCCACTTCCTTCTCCCCAGCTGGGGAGCTGTGAAGGGGCCAGAACCTCCCGAGGGTGCAGCGGGGGCTGCTGCATGGAGCAGGTCCCAGGCCCCTACATTGCAGACCAGGCTGCTGATGTTGACATTGGCCAGGATCTTTGCAAACAAGCCAGGCCATAAAGGCTCAACATTTGCACCCAGTGCTTCAGTGAGGGTATCCTCTTTGTCTTGCAGAATGAGGGGCAAGTAGATACCTGCTGCTAGTGGTGGTGGTCACAGGATGAAGAAAGAGCCTCACCCAAAGCAGCCTTAGCTTTCTCAGAAGGACCCAGCACCTTGGCAGCAGCTGAGGAAAGGGACTGTTATATTTTTATTTATTTATTTTTTTGAGACAGAGTCTCGCTCTGTCACCCTGGGTAGAGGGCAGTGGCATCAGCCTAGCTCCCAGCAACCTCAAACTCTTGGGCTTAAGCAATTCTCCTGCCTCAGCCTCCCAGCTTGCTAGGATTATAGGTGTGAGCCACTGCGCCTGGCTGGAACCTATTCTATTTTTATGAGTTTTAAATTTCTTGTTGCAACTCATTAATTTCATGACTCTCTAATAGTTCTCCAGCCACAGTAAAAAAAAAAAAAAAGAAAAAAAAGCTGCTGTAAGTGCACTGTCTTCACACTATTATTATACCCATTTTACAGAAACTAAGGTACAGAGCAGTTAAGTAATTCGCCTAAGAACTTACAGCAAGTAAGAGGTGAAGACAGGATTGGAACTCAGAGACACTAGTCTTAATTAGTCCACCCTAAAATCCAGACATTTGGGCTTATGTGTTGCACTGAGATTGGATGAGTGACTGCTGTATGCGAGGCTCTGGGGCTGTGGAGGTCACTTTAATAAGGTCCCTGCCCTCACAGAGCTCGCACCTCGTGGGAGAGGCCAGACACACACACCCAGAACCAGAACACAAGTTTGCAAACCAAAAAGTACGCAATGAAACAACAACAGGAACAGGGTCGCTGAAACTCACGTAAAAGTGTGAAGTTTTCTAGTAGCTTCCCTGGCAACTTTTATGTCACCTATTCCTAGGTCACGGCGGTGACAATTGTATTTTTAGATGGGGGTTCTGCTTTAGTGTCCATCATGTGAGATGGTTAAGTAGGGTGATGAGTAGCCTGGCTTTTGAAATTCAAGAAAAGTTAAATGACTTGCCCAAGATTGCTTGGCCATGTCCTGTGCCGTTTTTTGCCCTGATCTCCAGGCACAGTGACATGGAGGAAGGACGGGGAACCTTGTGGTCTGCACAGGGTCTGGGTGATTTCCCAAATGGGGCAAAGTGGACAAGTTATATCAGGCGACAGATGAGATGACACAATTTCTTCCCAAACCACAGCCTTGAGAATGGGGGTGGGGAAAAGCATGAATTAAGAGAACAATTGGTTTGTTTGTATTTGGTATTTTTTTTAATTTTTTTTTGAGACAGAGTTTCACTCTGCTGCCCTGGCTAAAGTAAAGTGGCATCATCATGGCTCACTGCAACCTCTAACTCCTGGGCTCAAGTGATCCTCCTGCCTCAGCCTCCCACAGTGCTAGGATTACAGGCATGAGCCACCGCACCTAGCCAAGAAAACAGATTTTTAGTGACACTAGACAGTTTGTAAAAATATGCCTTGTTCTTATTTTCTTTCTTTTTGATTATTTTAAATTGTTTTTTAATTGTAGTAAAATACAAGTAACAGAAACTTTACCATCTTAAGCATTTTCAAGAGTACAGGTTCAGCTGCATTAAGTACATTCACATGGTTGTACATTAAGTACATTCACATGGTCATTGCCATCCGGCTCCAGAACTCTTTTTTTTCTTTTTTTTTTATTGAGACAGAGCCTCACTCTGTTGCCCTGGCTAGAGTGCTGTGGCATCAGCCTTGCTCACAGCAACCTCAAACTCCTAGGCTCAAGGGATCCTTCTGCCTCAGCCTCCCGAGGAGCTGGGACTACAGGCATCGCCACCATGCCCGGATCATTTTTTCTATATATTTTTAGTTGGCCAATTAATTTCTTTCTATTTATAGTAGAGACGGGGTCTCGCTCTTGCTCAGGCTGGTTTCAAACTCCTGATCTCGAGCAATCCGCCCGCCTCGGCCTCCCAGAGTGTTAGGATTACAGGTGTGAGCCACTGCTCCCGGCCTCGGCTCCAGAACACTTTTCCAGGCTTACCTAGCACTTTGGAGGCCAAGGTGGGAGCATAATTTAGAGGCCAGGAGTTGGAGACCAGCCTGGGCAACACAGAGGAGACAATATTTACAAAACAAAAGAAAAACTTAGCTGGATGTGGTGATGCTCACCTATAGTCCCAGCTACTCAGGAGGCTGAGGCAGGAGGATCGATCACCTGAGTCCCGGAGTCAAGGTTACAGTGAACTATGATGATGCCACTGCACTTCAGCCAGGGCAACAGGGTGAGACCTTGTCTCTAAAAAAAAAAAAACAAACCCAAAACAAAAAATGAAAACCTGAAACTCTACCCATTGAACAACAACTCCCCACTTCTACCCACAGTCCCTGGTAGCTACCATTCTACTTTCTATATCTATGAATTTACCTATTTTAGTTACTTCATATAAGTGGAATCCTATTTGTTCTTATACGACTGGCTCATTTCACTTAGCATAATGTCCTCAAGGTTCATTCATGTGGCATGTGTCAGAATTTCCTTTGTAAGGCTGAATAATACTTCTTGAATGTATATACCATATTTTGTTTATCCATTCATCTGTTGATGGACACTTGGGTTGCCTCCACCCTTGGCTGTTGTAAATAGAGCTGCGATGAACATGAGTGTACAAATATATCTCCTCGAGTCCTGCTTTCAGTGCTTTTGGATATATACCCAGAATTGAAATTGCTGGACCAAATGGTGACTCTATTTTTAATTTTTTAAGGAACTGCCATACTGTTTTCCATGGTGACTGCACCATCTTACATTGCTAGGAACACTCACTCACAAGGGTCCCAATTTCTCCACATCTCCTACAACACTTGTTATTTTCTTTCTTTTTTTTTTTTTTTGACAGTAGCCATCCTAATGGGTGTAAGGTATTTTTTGTCTTTATTTTTTTAAAAATTTAAGTTTGAAACTCCAAGGTACAAAATGTTTGCCTTGAAAAATCTCCCTCCTCATCTCTCCTTACCCCAGCCACCCAATTCCTCTCCTTGGGAAAGAAATTTAATTTTTTAAAAATTTTATTTGATTGTTTATTTATTTATTTTATTTTTTAATTATTATGGGTACATAATAGTTGCATATTGGAAAACATTTAAATGGCCAATTTCTTGTGTAGCCTTCCATAAAGTATTCCAGAGGTACTTTATGCAAACACAAGCAGATAAGACTACAATTTTCCTTTTTTTTTTTTTTTACACAAATGGTATCATATATACTGTTCTGCCTCTTGTGCGTTTCCAATGAATGTATCTTAAAAGTTGTACCAAATAAGAACATAAAGAGCACCCTTGTTTTTCAGTGGCTTTTGAAAAATCGCATCGCTCTGGGAAGGGATCCGTGTGGGCTTCGCCAGGCTCCCAGAGGGCCCGTGGCACCAAGAAAGGTTAACGATCTCTGCTTGAAGCAGTTTTCTACCGAAAGACATTTCTTTTGCAATCATTTCCTCTGACCGCATGCAACGATGAATCACCCTGACGTGTGCTGCTTGGCCCCTGAGAGGTCAATATCTAGAGGAAATGGATCCTCACTGGGTGGAAGTAAAGGTGCATGTGAAATTTTGATAAGTACGGTATTGCCAAATGACACTCTAAAAGGTTAAGGAGATCAGGTGCCCTCGGTTATCAGCCAAAGTGCCTGTTTCCCCAGAGCCTTTGCAATGTGCAGTGTTTTCTAATGTGCGCACCTTTGTCAGTCTGCTGGGTGACACAGGGTCACTCACTGTTCACTGCTGCGTTTGTTTGTTTGTTTGTTTGTTTGTTTTTTCAGAGACAGGATCTTGCTGTGTTGCCCAGGCTGGACTTGAACTCCTGGGCTCAGGCGATACTCTCACCTCGGCCTCCTGCATGGCTGGGACTCAACTATTGCATTTCTCTCAATAGTGTGGCTCATTCTCTTTGTTACCTATAGAATATTCCAGAGTGTGGTTGTGCCTTAGTTTATTTAACTAGATTTTTGTTTGTTTGTTTGTTTCCTTTTGTTCGTTTTTTTCTTTTTCTGAGACAAGGTCTCACTCTTTCACCCAGGCTATAATACAGTGGTGTCATTGTAGCTCACAGCAACCTCAAACTCCTGGGCTCAAGCGATCCTCCTACTTCAGCCTCCCAGGTAGCTAGTTACTACAGGAAGGAGCCATGACATCCGGCTAATTTTTTCTATTTTTTAGTCGAGACAGGATTTTGCTCTTGCTCAGGCTGGTCTCAAACTCCTGATTTCAAGCGATCCTCCCGCCTCAACCTTCCAGAGTGCTAGCATTACAGGCGTGAGCCACCACGCCCAGCCTTCTCCTCTTATTACTGGGCATTCTGCTGTAAAGTATAGGGTCTCCCTCTCCCCATTGATTAATTTTTATTGTATTTATTTATTTACTTTTTAGGGACTGAGTCTTATTCTGTTAATTTTTATTTTTATATTTTAAATATGGACTCTGAATTCTCTTTTTATTTAATATATTTTTGGTTTTTGTTTGTTTTTTTTTTGAGACAGAGTCTCACTTTGTTGCCCAGGCTAGAGTGAGTGCCATGGCATCAGGCTAGCTCACAGCAACCTCAAACTCCTGGGCTCAACGCAATCCTCCTGCCTCAGCTCCCGAGTAGCTGGACTACAGGCATGCGCCACCATGCCCGGCTAATTTTTTCTATATGTATATTAGTTGGCCAATTAATTTGTTTCTATTTTATAGTAAGAGACGGGGTCTCGCTCTTGCTCAGGCTGGTTTAAATCCTGACCTCGAGCACCTCGCCGCCTCGGCCTCCCAGAGTGCTAGGATTATAGGCGTGAGCCACCGCGCCCGGCCTATTTAATATATTAATATTATTGATTCCTGTTATTCATTTTGATATTCAAAATAAATAGTTCAGCTAGTAGGAGCTCCTTCAAACTGTGTCATTTTATTTATTTTATTTTTTTATTTTTTTTGAGATAGAGTCTTACTCTTGTTGCCGGGGCTAGAGTGCCTGGCATCAGCCTAGCTCACAGCAACCTCAAACTCCTGGGCTCAAGCAATCCTTCTGCCTCAGCCTCCTGAGTAGCTGGACTACAGGCATGCGCCACCATGCCCGGCTATTTTTTCTATATATTTTTAGTTGACCAATTAATTTCTTTCTACTTTTTAGTAGAGACGGGGTCTCGCCCTTGCTCAGGCTGGTTTCGAACTCCTGACCTTGAGCGATCCTCCCACTTCTGCTTCCCAGAGTGCTAGGATTACAGGCGTGAGCTACCGCGCCCGGCCCGAACTGTGTATTTTGATGCGTGTCCATTTCTCCCATGACAACATGTCCTGGGCTTGGTGTGCACTTTCTCTGCTCCGGTCCTGGAATCGGCTGTTCTCCAAGGAGCCCTCGTTCTCTTCTCGGAGAACGGTACTTTACAACTTCTGCTGCTTTGCCATCATCCAAGCACTTCCAACAGGCAACGTCTCAGCTCCTAGGGTCCCCGGGAGCCACCAAACACTAGAACTTTCCGTGCTGGGGCTGGAGGGCCGTCCACATCCCGTGAGGGAAACAGTACCCGTGGCGTCTTTTCTTGCAGGCAAACCTGGGACCGGACAAGATGGTGGTTGACCTGACGGATCCCAACCGGCCGCGCTTCACCCTGCAGGAGCTGAGGGACGTGCTGCAGGAACGCAACAGGCTCAAGTCGCAGCTCCTGGTGGCGCAGGAAGAGCTGCAGTGCTACAAGAGGTGGGCGCCACGGCCTCCAGGGTCCCACACCGCAGAGCCAGTCCCGGCCCGCAGGTCCTTCTAGGTCACTTAGTGGTTCTTACGTTCATTCGTGCAGTTCATTGGAGACCTGCCATGTGACGGTCACTGTTCCAGGCAGTGGGGTGCAGCAGTGAACAAAACAGAGGAAGCGGGTCGGTGCCGGTCCATCGGGGAGACAGGAAAGCCCGGAATAAACACACAGGATAATGGTGGCAGGTGCTCTAAAGCAGTAGTCCCCAACCTTTGTGAGCACCAGGGACTGGTTTCATGGCAGACACTTTTTACGTGGACCTGGGGGAGGGGAGGAGGGAGACGGTTTCAGGATGATTCAAGCACATTGCATTTATCGTGAAACCACACCTCTCTGCTAATGATAATCCGTATCTGCAGCTGCTCCCCAGCGCCAGCATCACCGCCTCAGCTCCCCCTCGGATCATCAGGCGTGGATTCTCATAAGGAGTGTGAAACCTAGAACCTTGGCATGCATGCGCAGTTTACAGGAGGGCTCGAGTTCCTAGGAGGATCTGAAGCGGCTGCTGATCTGACAGGACGTGGGGTTCAGGCGGTGATGCCAGCGATGGGGAGCGGCTGTGAATACGGGTGAAACTTCCCTCCCTGGCCGCTGCTCACCTGCTGCTGTGCCGCCGGGTCCCCAACAGGCAGGGGACTAGTGCTGCTCCACAGCCCAGGGGTTGGGGCCTGCAGCTCGTAGCTCTAAAGGATGCACAACAAATGCCATAGCAGGCAGTGACGTGGCGCGGCGGGGGCCTGTTTAGATGGGGTGGTCAGGGAAGACCCCTCTCAAGGGAAAGACAAGAGGAAGGCCACCATGAGAAGATTTGGAAAGGCAAAAGTGGAGCAGGAAGCGCAGAGACCCTGAGGTGGGAGCCAGCGTGGTGGCCAATTTAAAGGGGACAAACAAGGAACCGGGAACGCAAGGTAGAAGATGATAGGACACTGCGGACGTGTGCCTCGGCCACGGGAAGGAGCTTAAATTTTACTGCGGGTGTAACGGGAGTCATTGGGAAGTTTTGATCAAGGGAATGACAGGATCTCAGTTCCTGTTTTAAGAGATCAGGGTGGTGATTTTGATAACTGAACCACTTGGTTATGTAAGAGAATGTCCTTGCTCTTTGCAAATACACTCTGAAGTATTGGGCGGTAAAGGGGTAACATGTCTCTTACTCTCTAGTGGTTCAGAAAGAAGATGGGTGGACAGACAGACAGACATGTGGGTGGATGGATGGATGGATGGATGGATGGATGGATGGATGGATGGACAGACAGATAAATAGGGAATCTGGGTAAAGGGTATATGGTAAGTCCTTGTACTAGTCTCACAACTTCTCTGTTGAGTTTGAAATTATATAAAAATTGAAAGTTAAGAAGGACCACAGTGGTCCTGGGTAGAGAATGAATCGCAGGACAAGCACGAGAGGTGGTAAGGATGGTGGTGTCAGATCCAGTTAGGACTTTGCTGTTTCCTTTTGTCACATGTTTTCTTTTATGTTGATAGAAAAGGGGACTCTGTGGTCGAATAATTCTGGGAAACGCTGAGTTAAACAAAGCACGTTTCCTTACAGGTAGAGGAAGGAAGGACCAAGAGAATGCGAACGCAATATCCACTAGCATTTGCCAATACCCATTGTGTACCAGGGACCCTGCTAGGTGTATCCTGAGCATCATTTCAGTTAGTGCTCATGGCAAGACTGAGTTGACACGCCTGTAATCCCAGCACTCTGGGAGGCCGAGGCAGGAGGATCGCTTAAGGTCAGGAGTTCGAAACCAGCCTGAGCAAGAGCGAGACCCTGCCTCTACTAAAAGTAGAAAGAAATTAATTGGCCAACTAAAAATATATAGAAAAAAATTAGCCGGGCATGGTGGTGCATGCCTGTAGTCCCAGCTACTCTGGAGGCTGAGGCAGAAGGATCGCTTGAGCCCAGGAGATTGAGGTTGCTGTGAGTTAGGCTGATGCCACGGCACTCTAGCCCGGGCAACAGAGCGAGACTCTGTCTCAAAAAAAAAAAAAGACTGAGTTGAGGTGATGTTGTCGCCGTGGTGAGCTGAGGTCCAGAGAGGCTGGGAGGTGGGGACGTGACCTCAGACAGATATGAGAGTCTGTGTTTTTAATTAGCATGCCACATTTGAACCCTGAAGGTTTGGAATTAAGGACATACCCTGATCCAAAACAAAACACAAAGCCCAAGTGGTATTTTTCTTTAAATTCCTCCCGTGTGGCATCTCTAAGAGAGCAGTAATAAGTAGACAGGTTCTGAGAAGCCAAATCCAAGAAGGCTGATTCTGCCAACAGGAATTTGCTGTCTCCCGTCTGCTGAGGTTGGACCCACGTTGATGGAAAGACCTGTCTTCATCTCATTTAATAAGCAGCTCAGACATAGGTAGTTAAAAAGGAACTGCTAAGCTGCTGGTGCCGGGAGCAGCTTGTTAGTGAACAAAACAACACACTTTGTTTCTAGTTTTGCATTCCCAGGGAACGAGGGATGTGCACTTTCCATCTGGCACCGGCCACAAGAAGGAGGATGCTGCTTCGTTTCTAGCCTTATGTATTCCGGAGGAACCAGCACGCCGGCTGAGACGTTCTCATAGCAACTGCATCCATTTGCAGGTCCAAACTTGTACTGAAAATAGACGGATAATAATTTGTAACTACGGAGAGCTATCACACGTTGTTTCCAAGGGCCCCACAATATTCCCCACCCTGTGTGCCTTTTGCAATGAGACTTTGCCACTCCTCTCATGAAGAGCTGGAGTCTTGCAACTGGGGACATAAGGACTGAAAAATTTTTTTAAAGAAAGAAAAAGAGGTAGAGTCTATTTTCCCTCTCCTTGAATCTGAGCTGGCCCTGTGACTGGCGTTGACCAGTGGAACAGGATGTAAGTGATCATGTTTAGCTTCCTAGGTTAAGGATTTAAGAGGCCTTGCAGCTTTCATTTTTGTGCTCTTGGAATGCTGACTTGAGTCCACCATGCTGTGAGGGAGCTCAAGGTAGTCACATGGAGAGGTCACGTGAAGGAAAACAGAGGTGCCTCCGCTGACAGCCCCAGCTGTGCCCAGCCCCCACCCAGTCCCCCAACTAAATACATCAAAGTGAGAACCTCAGCTGGAGGACCACAAAGCCAACCATAAGAAGCCAGGTGCAGTGCCATGCACCTGTAGTTCCAGCTACTCGGGAGGCTGAGGCAGGAGGATCGCTTGAGCCCAGGAGTTTGAGGCTGCAGTGAGCTAGGCTGACGCCACGGCACTCACTCTAGCCTGGGCAACAAAGTGAGACTCTGTCTCAAAAAAAAAGTATGGGCAGATAGATACTTTGACTCTCAGTGAGCCAGAATTCAATATCACCTGACCTCAGTCTCTTATCAGTCAATATCAATCTTATCACCATCTGACTTACTATTTACACTTTTATTTTGCTTATTTTTATTTATTTACTGTGTCTTTCCCCACTGGAATATAAATTGAATGAGAGAAGATACTTTGTTTTGTTCAGACTGTTTCTATAATACCTTGGCACAGAAGGTAGCTTAATAAATATTTGTTGAATGAATGAGTGAGTGAGTGTCAGGCACCATCTATTATCTCATTAAACTCTCCAACACTAGGAGGTACGTGCTATTATTATCCTCATTTTCCAGGAAACCAAGAGTTAATTTAGAGAATGTATATAGTGTCATATTCCTAGGAAGTAGAGAAGCTTGAAGTACTAGCCAATGCAATTAGACAAGAGAAGGAAATAGGCATCAAATTGGGAAGGTAGAGGGAATATCTTCATTATTTGGGTCAGAATCTTTCTGCCTGTAATGTTTTCAATCATAATATTATTAATAAAATAATCATTAAGACCCTTTATTTTCAGAGCTCCACAGATAAGAGGTCTGTAGTAAAACAACCCATTTATTTGTCCTCTTTTCCCCAGTGGCCTGTTTCCACCAAGAGAAGTCCCAGGAGGAAGAGAAGAAAAAGATGTTCTGGTTTCCAGGGCCAGCAGTGCCGGCAGGAACAAGGAAGAGAAGACAATCATAAAGAAGCTGTAAGTCACCTTGCTGTCCCTGTTGCCGCTAATAATTGCTAAAGGAAGTGGTAAGGGGCAAGAGGAGGTTCTCAGGGCAGGGCGGCCGTGCTTTCTCCTGGTGGTAGTCCTGCAGCTAATATGAAAAGTCAGTGCTTCTTGGCCTTTTGGCTAAGACCAAGTGAAAACTCAATGCCAGTGTATTACAATTATTATTATTTTTTGAGACAAGGTCTTGCCCTGTCTCTGGGTTAGAGTGCAGTAGCATCATCATAGCTCACTGCAACCTCAGATTCCTGGGCTCAAGTGATCCTCCTGCCTCAGTCTCCGCAGTAGCTGGGATTACAGGTTCATGCCACCACTCCCAGCTAAGTTTTCTATTTTTTGTAGAGATGGGGTCTCAGTCTTATTCAGGCTGGTCTCAGACTCCCGGCCTCAAGTGATCCTCCTGCCTCGGCCTCCCAAAGTGTTAGGATTACAGGAGTGAGCCACTGCGCCTGGCTGGTGTATTATAATAATATCTGCCAAGCAGTAATCTAAGTACTTGACATACATTGATCCACTGAATCATCACAACAACCCTATCAGGTAGGAACTATTATTATCCCCATTTTACAGATGGAGAAATAGATACTGAGAGGTAAAGTAATTTGCCCAAGGTCGCACAGATAGTCAATAGTGCAGTCAGGATTTGGAGCCGAGGAAGTCTGGTTTCTATACTCTACTGACTCCCCATCAGATGATAATAATAACCAAAAATAGTAATATGATTATACCAATAAGAAAAATGATAAAAAATTATTATAGTTTAGGGGGGAATGATTGATCCCCTCTCTTACCTCCAACTTTAGAACCAGTCAAGAAAGCCAGCATGTCCAAGAATCAGCTTTATTGCTGGAAGAGCACTTTTGGAGAACAAAGCCTGGACTTGGCGCTTACATGGGACTTCTACTCCTTCCCCTCCAAAGGGACTGACCCAGGCCTTCATTCTCAGGGCCAGGCCCTGGGGGAGGTGGCAGGGGGGAGGACACCTGTGGCCCAGCAGCAGCAGCAGCTCAGGAAGGAGGAGCCAAAGGGAGAGGAGGCTGGTGTGCAGCTTGTCAGAGAGCAGAGTCACAATTCCTCCGACGGTGGGGACGGGGGTTCACGTGGGGTCAGTATGGCAGGCGGGGAAATAGCAGATTTCTTTCCAGTATTACCCAGAGCCTGTAGGTTTTACTTCGATGGGATGAAGTAGGACTTCATCGGAAGGGAAAAGATAATTCCCCCTCCTGAAGAGTCGTCATAATTCCCACTTAATGAGCATCTACTATGTGCCAGACACGGAGCTAGTCAGCAAGGAGGTTTGATATGTGCCTTCTCAGTTGCCAGGTGTCGCAGTAATTAGATGCGGCTTTTCTGCACCCCACGCTGCAGCAAGCAGTCTGTCTGCCTCGGTTGCTTTGAGAAAGTCTGTCCTGCTAACAGCTGACCAGCGTCTGGGCTCGTAGGTGGAAGCTGAGACACAGCCTCAATCAGGGGGCTCAAACTTCAGTGCCTGCGGGGGCCAAGGTCCTTCATGCAGATGAGTCATGGGGACGTGGGGTGGGAGGCCATTTGTCCCCCAGCTCTGCCTAGCCAAGGGATGACATGCTGCCAGCGCTTCTGATTCTTGAGAGAAGCCAAGAAACCAGATTTGTTCGTGGAGTCTGATTTTCAAGTGCTGGCAAATAATTTAAGCTCAAACATAAATATCACGCGATCCAGATGAACCCCCACTGGAGGCTGCACCGGGGCCGGCTGCCTGGCCGCCACCTCCGCTCTCGCCCCCTTCCTCCTGCCTCTGGGGGAGGGCCGCTTGGCAGATGGCTGAGAGCACCTGGGCTTTTTCCATTCATTTGGTCGTGAGTCAGTCAACAAACCCTCGCTGAGTGTAGACAGTGTGCCAGGTGTCATGCCGGGTGCCGGGGAAGAGGCAGTGACCTGTTTTACAAGGGCTCTGTTGGCTCCCCTTTCACAGGGAAATATTTTTGAGGGATCAGTGAGTCTGAGTTACCTTCCAGGGCAGATTTAAGATAGATGCCTTTGTTTCAAGAGAGAAGAGAAAAAAAAAATTTTTTTTTTAACCTCAAGAACAGGGTTGAGTGATCTTCATGGTTAGTGCAAAACCTCTTTCTTCTTGGCTGTTATTCATTCCCTTTCATCCCCTGATCCATTCTACTTCCCAGCTCCCTCCCCCCAGCCATTCTAACTTGGTATTTAATGTGTATCTTTTTATTTGAATCCGCTACTAATAAGTATATGTTATTCTGTGTGGATATGTGTAGTTTTAATATGTAACTAATACTTTAACACCTGTTTGCTACTGGTTTTTTTTTTTACTACTAAACACTTTTTTTTTTAAATTAAGCACCCATATGTGTGTTTTTTAATTTTAATATGTTTTATCAACCCAACATATCCAAAATCACTATCATTTCAACAAGCGATCACTATAAAACATTATTATTATGATTATTACCTTTTTTTTTTTTTTTTTAGAGATAGGGTCTTCCTCTGTCAACCAGGCTACAATGCAGTGGTGTGATCATAGCTCACTGTAGCCTCAAACTCCTGGACTCAAGTGATCCTCCCGCCTTAGCATCCTGGCTAATTTTTTTCATTTTCATTATTTTTTTTTTTTTAGAGATGGGGTCTTGCTATGTTGCCCAGACCGGTCTCAAATTCCTGACTTCAAGCCATCCTCCCACCTCACCTCCCAAAGTGCCAGGTTTATAGGCACAAGCCACCACACCCAGCCATAAAACATTATTAATAAGATAGTTTACATTCTCCTTTTTTGTAGTAAGCCTTCAAAATCTGGCATGTATTTTACATTCATAGCACATTTCAGTTCAGACTAGCCATGTATCAAGGGCTCAAAAGCCACATGGGGCTAGCGGCCACACACACAGACAGCACAGCCATACCCGACACATGGTGAGAATCTTACACTTTGGAACATGGTTCAAATTGAATATTTTAAAGTTTTTTTTTTTTTTTTTTTTTGGAGACAGAGTCATCGGTCTTTGTTGTCCAGGCTAGAGTGAGTGCGTGGGTTCAGCAGTACGCTTCACAGCAACCTAAACTCCTGGGCTCCGAGTGATCCTTCTGCCTCAGACCGTCCCGAGTAGCCTGGGACTACAGGCCATGCGCCACCATGCCGGCTAATTTTTTATATATAGTACAGTTGGCCAATTAATTTCTTCTATTTATAGTAGAGACGCCCGGGTCCGCTCCTTGCTCAGGCTGGTTTTGAAACTCCTGACCTATGAGGCAATAACGGGCCTGCCTCGGCCCCCTCCAGTTTTTTTTTTTTTAATCAGTGGTAAAATTCGTAATCAAATCTGCCATTTTAACCATTTTTAAATGTGGGATTAGGTACATTTACGGAGTTGTTGCAACCATGAGCACCATCTTTTTCTAAAATCCCTCCATCATCCCAAACTGAAAGAGTCTGTGCTCATTAGGCAGTAACTTCGCCCCTGCCCCTGGTAACCTCAATTGTACTGTCTCCATGAATTTATCATCTATTCTAGCGACCTCATATAAGGGAAAGCATACAATATTTTTCCTTTGTGTCTGGTGGCTTTCACATGGCATGTCTCCCACATTCTTCCATGTGGTAGCATGTATCAGAATTCCATCCCTTTTTAAGGCTGAATAATATTCCATTGGGTGTGTATATGCCATGTTCTGTGTATCTGTTCATCTGTTGATGGACATTAAACACTATTTTTAAGATCCATCCATACAGCAGCACAGATGTCTACTTGTTGCTGCTTCTTTTTTAAAAATTACTTATTTGTTTATTTGGAGACAGAGTCTCACTCTGTCACCCAGGCTAGAGTGCCATGGTGTCAGCCTAGCTCACTGCAACCTCAAACTCCTGGGCTTAAGGGATCCTCCTGCCTCAGCCTCCCGAGTAGCTGGGACTACAGGCGACCACCACCACGCCTGGCTAATTTTTCTATTTTTGGTAGAGATGGGGTCTCCCTCTTGCTCTAGGCTGGTCTCGAACTCCTGAGCTCAAGTGATCCTCCTGCCTAGGCCTCCCAGAGTGCTAGGATTATAGGCGTGAGCCACTGGGCCTGGCCTTACTTGTTGCTTCTAACCCCAGGAAGATACTCCCTCTCCCTGGGGGCTGGGAGGGTCCCGGGTTGTCTTCACGCTCATCCATGTCCCCTTGTGGACCTGCGTGTGAGTTTCCTAGAGGAATATACCCAGGAGAGAAACTTCTGGGTCACGGGCTGTACCAGCCAGCAGCATGGCAAGAAACAAATGGCACTATTAAAAGGGGTTGGGGCGGAAGAGATTTAAGGAAGGGACGTTTTACAGATGTGTGAGCAGGGTTAAGGGATCAGATGAGATGCACCCGGGACTGGCAACAGAGGGGAGACGTTACTACCCCTTAGGCCTGAAGGGGTGAGGGGTGCGCACCGTGTTGTCAAGAGGGAAGTGAGACCGAGTGTGGCCTCCCACAGAGGAACACAACAGCTGCTCCAACAAGGCCAGGCAGGGAGGGAGCCCCCCGGGGAATAAAAACTCCCCAAATGCTTCGTCTTGCCGGGACTGAGCTCAACCAGAAAGCAGAGGACAAAGGAGCTTGTTGATAAAGTCCACGGAGCTAAGAGCAGGGGAGGGACAGGATGAGACAGCGGCCCACAGAGTATGCACAGACTTCATGTCATTAGCTAGTGCCAGGCTCTCTGAAATGGCCGCTTGAAAACTGCTTTGTCTTGCCGGGCACAGGGGCTCACGCCTGTAATCCCACCGCTTTGGGAGGCCAAGGTGGGAGGATCACTCCAGCCCAGGAGTTTCGAGGCTGCAGTGGGCAGATCATAATCACACCACTGCACTCCAGCCCTGGCGGCGGAGCGGGACCCTGTCACTAAAAATAAAAAGTAAAATAAATTAAAAAATAAAGGAAAGCTGCTTTGTCAGGCAAGACCACCTGAAACCAGTTTATTCATTCGACAGCTATTTTATTGGGAGCACACCACGTCCCGGGCGTTGTTCTGGGAGCTGCGGGGACAGCCGTGAACCAGACAAAGTCCCCACGTGGGGCTTATGTTCTAGTACGAGAGTAAGAGGGTGAACAGCTGAAGACACACATTAGCAGGATAAGTTTAGACAGCCCTGAGCACTATGAAGACAGTTAAATACGGCCCTGGGAGGGAGGGAGAAAGATAGGGGAGTACTTCAGTTTAGGGGAGTCCTGGAAGGCTTCTATGGGGAGACGATATTCGAACACAGACCTGAAGGACAATAGAAACCTGAAGGAAGGAAGTTCCTGGCAGATGAGACAGTAGGGTGAAGGCCTGAGGCTGGAGGTGGCTCACAGGACAGATCACGTTGGCAGGGGCAGGGAAGAGAGTGGAGGTGAGGAGGTAGGAGGGGCCACGTCACCCAGGGCCACATGGATCCCGGTGAGGACTTCGGGTTTTATTCTAAGTGCATCGGGAAGGCGTTGGAGGGTTTTAAGCTGAACGTTATCTATGTATAAGATACTCACTCTGGCTGCTTTGTGGACGAGGCTGGGGGAGCAGGGGAAAGCGGGGCCAGTGATGGGGGTGTTTCTCCCCCAAGGAAGGGTCTGACAGTGTCAATTTTCACTGGCTGAGTATCTTGTTGTAAATAAGGCTTCCAGAAGGCATAAACCGGTTTCTTTCTGCCTCCTCCTAAGGGAGTTCTTTGGGTCACTTAATAGGAATTTGAGCCTAATATGGCAAAAATGAAATGTTCCGTGCACTTCCCGGCCTAAGGGCAGTGTTTAATGAGCGTGAGGCCACACTTTCATGGTCAGATAAGCTTATTTCGCTAATGGGAATGAATGAATGACTTTCTGAAGAAGTAGGCCACGCTGAGAAGGATTTTCGTTTTCATCCTGAGGACAGTGGGGAGCTGAGGAAGGGTTTGAGAGGAGGAATGACTGTCACTTCTGCGCCGCGGTCGTTCTTCTGGCATTCGTCACGGCTCCGTTCGAACGGCTGGTCGGGTGACCGGAGTGGTGCTCTCACCAGTGGGTGCCCTGGCTGGGGTCAGCGAGGAGAAGTTGGATTGAAATATTTGGTGTGATGCTAAAGCGTGCGATGGAGGGAGGAGTGGAGAACAACTCCCAGGTTCGCCTGAGTTGGGTGGGGGCATCTTTCCTGATACAGAACTGGGGGTTGGGCTGTGTGCTGGTGGGGACGATGCTTGCCAGGGCTTGCCCCAGCCATCCCTGGGACAAGCTGCTGGGGACACCTGGGCTGTTTCTGAGGGAACAATACCCCAACCCAATGGTGAGTTTCAGACCCCAGTGACCTGTCCCTTTCTCGCGGGAATAGTACTGGACTACAGGACACTGTGCTTCCTTTTCAAAACTTTGCATATTTTGATAATTGGTATTTTCCATATTTTGGTAATTTGGTATTCATGTCTCAGGGAATAGCTTTATGTGTTTTAACTGTTTTACCCAAGAATGCATGTTTTTTTTTTTTTTTGCTTTGTTTTTTGTTTTGAGACAGAGTCTCACTCTGTTGCCTGGGCTAGAGTGCCATGGTGTCAGCCTAGTACACACAACCTCAAACTCCTGGGTCTAGCGATCTCTGCCTCAGCTCCGACGTAGCTGGGACTACAGGCATGTGCCACCATGCCCAGCTACTTTTTTTTCTATGTTTAGTTGTTTGGCTAATTTCTTTCTATTTATAGTAGAGACAGGGTCTCGCTCTTTGCTCAGGCTGGTCTCCGAATTCCGAGTCACAGCCAATCCTCCCGCCTCGGCTCCCAGAGTGCTAGGATTACAGGCATGAGCCACCACGCCCTGCCAAGAATGCATGTGTTAATCATTCACTGCAAAGATATGTTTAAAATTGTAGGTAATGTCAAGAAGTTATCTCTTCTTCCACAATAAAACCTAAAATTATTATTATTATTTTTGAGACAGAGTCTCGCTCTGTCGCCCAGGTTAAAGTGAAATGGCGTCATCATAGCTCTCAGCAACCTCAAACTCCTGGGCTCAAGTGATCTTCCCACCTCAGTCTCCCAAGTACCTGGGACTACAGTGTGCACCACCACGCTTGGCTAAAAACATCCTTAAAAAAAAAAAAAGTGCTGGACACCATCTCACAGTCTAGCACAGTGGTTAAGAGCGTGGCTCTGGGCCCAACTCCTGGCTACACAGCTACTGTGTGACCTTGGGCCTGTTACTTAACTTCGTAGGGCCTCAGTTTGCTCATCTATAAAATGGGGATATATCAGTGGTCCTTCTCACGGAGTCCTTATGAGTGTGAAATGAGCCAATCGATGCCTAGCACCTTGAACAGCGGCTGTCCCATAACAAGCCCGGAACACATTCTTGAGTCAGCGGCCCGCAAGAGCTGTTTGCAGATTTTGCAGGTGCTTCTGTCTTCTCGCCCTCTGCTATTCGACCCTCTCTCACCCAGTTCTTCTTCGTCGGAGCAATCGCGGTGACTACGATGCTGTCACCCTCCAAGAGACAACCCGGCTTGTGAAGCCGTCCCTGTGCCACACGGACATTGCTCATCATCTGCTCCCCGCTCACGGCAGATGGAGGAGGGAGGAGATGAAGGTCTCTTGGGATCCCTTTCTCCCCGGCTGCAGACCTGGACACCCTCGAAGGAGTGGCCAGGGCGAGAGTGAGGCAGCACAAAGAATCAAGAAAGCACAAGGAACGTGCTCGGGGCCCCCTCCTGCTCCCGCTGCGACGCCCCCAGCTGCACACGTGTGTGTTCTGCTCCCGGGGGCGGCCCTGGTCTTTCACACGTAGCAGCAGGGAGAAGAGAAAGCAGGAAAACATGACATCGATAGCCCAGTGGTGACTTCACCGACACTGAGTCAATATTTGATTTCGCTACCGCAACTTTCTTTACGTGATTTTTGCATCAAAGTAAAATAACTTTTATACTTTCTGTATTGGCTGAGAGTGGTCTCTGAGAGCCGAGATGTGTATGTGGGGAGCTGCCTGTGTGTGTGTGTGTGGTGTGTGTACACAGTCCCCCAGATCTGAGGGACATGCCACTTTGTGTCGCTATGATGCCGCAAATCAGAACTTTAAGATGCTGCTGATTTTAAGGCTCACGCTGGTTTTAGAGATGTCATGATGCGAAAAAATGTGCATTTAGGAATCGGTGAGATGCGGTAGACAGAGAAGGGGTGGCTGCACCTAGGAAAGAAGCTGACGAGGCTGCTGAGCACGTTCCAGGGGCCGTCTGTCCGTCTGCTCAGGAACCACGCGGGCTCACCCAGCACGTGCCGCCCGCTCTGAGGATTTTCTCTTTTGTTCCTTATGACAGCTCGGCGAGATGGGGACTGGTACTGAGCTTCCCCTCCCCACCCCAGTTTACAGGTTGGAAACTGAGGCTCTGGAAGGTCTAAGGACCTTAAATGAGGCCACGTAGCCAGCAAGCGGCCACCCCAATGCAAACGCAGGCCTGGCGCCCAGACCTGCCAAGCTCCATGTGCCCGGTCTCTGAAAAGTGCTGATTAAAATTAACGACCACAGCTCACTGCTCGCCTCGCCTGCACCATCTTATGGACCTTCCCCACGTCGTCCCACCATACCCCTGGGAGACGGATTTTATTGTTGCTCTCATGGTACATGCTGGGAGGTGACAGCACAATAGGGTGAAAGGACTTGTCCAAGGTCCCCGGCTAGAAAGTAGCAGCAGCAGAACTTGAACCCAGGTACAAACTCTGCCTCCCACAAAGAGTTGGCAGTGTCTAAGGAGCCCAGAGCAGATGGCCACCGCCACAGGGTCGGAGGTCAGGGTCTCCTGATCCCAGCACCCAGTGTGACGCAGCAACTCTGCTGACTGTCCCCCTCTTAACTGGGGAAGGGAAGAGAACGTTGCTGCACCTTGGAGGTGAGAGCCAACCTGGCAGACAGATCTATGCACCCTGACCCCAAAACACATGAAGAAGCCACACCGACAGCAGTGGGGTCACAGAACAGCGTTCCAGAGGGGGGAGGGCTACAGAGCAGGGGACACTCCTGGGTCAGTCTCCACGGCACCAGCCTTACATCCCAGAGCCCCTGTCGTGGCAGCTGACCCCCCTGCTCCTGAGCCAGTCTTGCTTCCGTGTCCCCACCTACAGGGGGCAGGAGGCCATAAAATCTGGAAACAGACGGACGATGACTGTGCATTGCTATCTGTAAGCCATTTACACATTATCTCCTGGATTTCCAGACTGGGGGGGGGCAGCCTATATAAACGCTCCCATGCCTCCTGTCCCTTGGCATGGACAGGGAGAGGAACCTGCGCAGAAAGAAACGTCAAGACAAGACAGTCCCGGTGGCTCTGGTACCCTGGGGAGAGGCTCAAAAAAGTTACGGCAAGAAATGCTTGGAGTGCAACTTTGGTAAAACCAGGCGCTGGGGCGTGGGCACTCCGCGAAGTGCGTGCCGGGAGCATTTCTCCTAGAGACGGGCCTGCTTACCCACAGGCGACAGAGCCGTGGTGTCGGTGGGCTCCGGCCACTCCCGCCTGGCAGGACTCCAACTACACACCCCGCAGGGGGAGGAACAAGCTTAGAAGCAGGTTTTCAAGCCAGATCTCAGGAGGCGTAAGAGGTGGCTGCTGCAGCAATTATTTTTAAAAGATGAACAAATAAATACAGCAAGTAAGTATCAGAACTTGGAGGCACTTCTGAGCACTTGTGAAGAGTGAATGGTAGAAACCACCCACATTTTTAATCCTCATAGCTAACACTGGTCCCCGAGGGTTATCTATGTGCAAGGCACTAGTACAAGTGCTTTTGATACTAACTCATTAAGTCCTCACAATCACCCCCTATTAAGGACGGTCTTGTCTCCATGTTACAGAGGAAAGTGACGCACAGGAAGGCCGGGTACCTGCCCAAGGTTATGCTGCCACGTGACCGGAGCCAGAGGTTCTGCTCCAGGGCCTGAGCACGTGGCCACCAGGCCACACAGTCCCCTCCAACGCAAGGATATACCTGAAGACCGACACCTCTGCGTGGCAAGTGGCACAGGCTATTCCTATTTGATGGGCACGTTTCAGAGAGGGAAGTGATGTGCCCAAGGGTCACGTGGCTGACAAATGCTTAGAGCTGATGCCGGAAGCGGATCTCTTGCCTCTAAACCAAGGGCTCTACCAGGGTCCCAATCTGCCTCCACTGGCCAAGCGCGGTGGCGACAGAGATCTGGACTGGTAAGTGGGCAGTTCCCAGCATTAAGACGTGAGAATCAAGTCTCGTAAACTAGGAATGACGATAACGACAATTACAGCAGCTGAGACTCATGATGCCTGCTCCGTGCCAGGCACTGTTCTAAGGCTCAATGTGCATTAGCTTTTAACCTTCACGAGCACCTACAACCCCCACGTCACACGGACGGGGAAACCGAGGAACTCGGCAGTCCCAGGCAACAGAGTGAAGATCCTACCAAGATTTTCTGCCTCCTTTGGAAGACATTCATCAAAGTTTAGACTCATGGGACATGTGACCCTTCCATAAAACAGGAAGTCAAACTTTACTTTCTTCTCCCTCTGCCTTGCACAAACAGACACACACAGGTGGCCTTGCCTGGCAATAAATATTTTAATTTTTCTTGTTTCATTTTTCTGATGACAAATAATTTTCAAGTTTATTTCCTTTTTTTGTTTGTTTGTTTAAATACAAAGCTAAACCACAAACAGGTACAATCAAGACATTTTATCTCACATCTACACACTCCCGTTGGATCCTCCTCCAATTAATGAGCTGACCGCTGACCAGGCTGGCGTGGGGCGGGGGAAGACTTTCCTAGGTAGCACCGTCGTGAGGCCTGGGTTGGGGGGCGAATCGAGGACGAGGGCAGGCTCTCACACCTGTCTCCATTCACATTTACCTGGGACCAGAGTGAGCCGGAGACCCCAGCCCCCTGAGCTCCTGGGCCCCGGCGCCCTGGACTGAAGGGACAGCGCGTGAGAGTCGGTCCTGCCTAGGGAGGGAGCAGGAAGCCCCTCACTCCTCCTGCCGTCACAGTCGGGGTGAAAACTTCAGCCCTATCCTTGATCCCTGGGGGCTGCTGGGCCCTGCCCACCACCCCCGCATGCCCGGCGCCTTTCTCCGAGGCGGGCAGCGGTGGCCGGGGCGGGGGTCCTGGGCCTGCAGGCTCATGCTCCAGTTCTCGGCTGCGTCTTCACAGGAAGGACACCGGGTGGTCTGACCGGACAGAAGGCCTTGACAGCAGCTCTGGAACTTTCAACCCAGCAGAATCGGGGGTGTCGTAGGGATGGGGTGGGGGTGGGGGTGTCAGGTAAGTAATTTCTGGTCCCACTACAAAAACTTTAATTTTGATTAGAATAGAGTACCATCTCAAATCTCTTCTACAAAAACCAAAAAAAAAAAAAAAAAAACCCAAAAATAATAATGCAGCCACTTCACTCACTTCAAGACCTATATACATGTAAGTTGTTTTCTGTGGTTTTTTTTTTTTTTTTTTTTGATTTTTTTTTTTGGTCCTTTATTATTATTATTTTTTTTAAAATAAATTCAGTGTTCACATTTCTATAAAGAATTAACCCAGTTTTAGGAAACCCTGGCCTGGCAGGGTCGGTAAGCAACGCTTTTCCCTGCCCGCGTCTGGTTTCACGACCCGCCCTGATGCGTCGAGGTGCCCAGAAAAGCGGCAGCCCGTGGAAGAGAAATCTACGCCCGGCCCGCGCGCCCGGGCCGCAGGGTCAGTAAGCTTTCGAGAAAGCAGAGGGGAAGACTAGCTTACTGTGAAACCTCTTTAAAAAATATTCATACACTTCGATGCGCGCCTGTCGAGACGTCAGGAGAACAAGAGCTTGGGAACATCCCGTCCAGGCCGCTGGGAGGCAGCGTCTTCCTCGCACGCCGACCCGGTCGCTGCGCGTCCTCGGGAGTGCGGGGACAAAGTCCTGGCTCTTCCGCCGGAGGCAGGAGGCTCGCCCGGCCTCCCGCTTCGAACATGACTCTTTCCTCTAAAACCTGTGCCGCGTCTTGGACTGCACGCACGGGAAGCACGGACGTTCGGCTTGTATGCAAAAAAGGTACAAAAACAACTAGAATATAAAAGTTTTGGTAATATAAGGCCATCTGTTCAAGTCCACCTAGGAAACCTGTAACAGATATTTAAATACTACAGTGAAAAGGCATCTTAATATATTTTTTTAAAAACATCTGAAGTCATCCGCTAAGATTAAGTGTGTAAAAAAAAAAAAAATCAATTCCCTTTGAGGGCACTTTGTCCTTTGAAGAAGGGAGGGTGGGCAGGGAGGGCGACGGCCGGCTAATGCTTCAGCCACGGGTAGGCTTCGATGGAGGCCTTGCTGCGGTCCCCATAGTCATACAAGAGCTCCTCCCCGGCCTCGATGTCCCGGGAGGCGATGAGGATGAGGTGAGGTACGCCGTCGATGTCGTGCAGCTTGGTCTGGCAGTTCCCGCACTTGCTGTGGTTGATCAGCCTTCCCAGGCGGTTCGTCTCTCTGGTTGCATCCACGCTGGGGGGGGGGGGCGAGAGAGAAGCCTGTTAACCCAGGCAGAGCGCGCTTGCTCTCAACACTGGTAGGAAAGAGATTCGATTCAAAAGCTATTTTCGGGAGCCCGGAGAGGCTCCGGGCGGGGGCCTGGGGTGGAGGTGGGGGAACCCAAAGGGCTCTTTATGGAGACACAGGAAGCAACTGCAGAGTTTTGCAAAATAAATAAATGGATAAAAATCAAGTCCACCGGCCACCGCCAGGAAGGAGCAATTAGCCATTTCCAGAGCTGCTCTGGCCAAGCGCCCCGAAGAGGGGGAGGCCAGCGAGCTGCTCAACAGGTTTTCGTGGGACTAGTCCACGTCTGCCCCTCGATGGCGGACATGACATCCAGAATGGCTCCCATTCCAAATATTAAAAATGGGAAGAGTGTGGGGGTGGGGAGGAAGGAGCTGCAACCCGGCTTTGAAAGAGGCAGTGAGAAAAAACAAGCAGCAGGACGGACACCGAGGCTTGGGCGCTCTCTGCGGCCCCTGGCTCTGCCCAGAGGACGGAACAGCCACGCAAAGCGACGGCGCACTTACCAGTAGGTTTTGCTCAGATACTGGAAATAGTACATGTAGCAGCCCGTGGACGGGTCTTGTGCGTACAGAGCCTCCCGCTTCTTGGCGTCGGTGATCTCGATGAGGTCCCCGTGGTATTCCACCACGAAGTCGCCCCGGGAGAACTGCTTGGTGGCTATCACGCCCCTGCCCTTGCCGTCGATGAGGTCAATCTGTCGGGAGGTGAGCAGAGTGCTGGTTCAGGGTGGCAACGGGTGCTGGCGAGCAGGCAGCTCCCTGCGAGCTCGGGCCTACGCCACTCCGGAGCGGCTTTGTCAAGGCGTGCCAGGATTCACTCATTGTACGTGTACGGTTGGATGGGTTTTATTAAACGTATACAGTTGTGCAACTATCAGCACGGTCTAGCTTTAGGACACTTCTGCCACCACACAGGTTTGGTTCCTGGGTCCATCTGCAAATCAGTCACATCAGATCCTCAGGAGAGATCTGCTAGGTGGGTGTTGCCCCATTTTGCAGAGGAGGAAACTGAGGCTTAGACAGGCAGAGCCCTATGTTGAAGGCTACACAGGCGGGCAGTGGTGTAGCAGGGACCGAAATCCACACAGCTGGGCTCTCTGCGTAGGCACCATTCTCTACGCCTCTCTTGGCAAACAACAGGACCCAGTACTCTGGGTCTTTCCTTCATTCCATAATTTACCCCCTTGTGTTTCGCCTCGTTCTATTACACGTGGAGTTGGAGGGGGCTGATCGAGGGGCCCAGGACTTAAGTTTGGGTTCTCCTGAGGGTCAGAACCGGCAGCTTTCTCACTTTTGGGCCCTAGGACAGACTCATCTGGCCACTACTGTGGCCAAACCAAATGAGTCTGAAATACACTAGGAGAAAAGCAACTTTCTTGGGCATCGCCTTTCCCAGGAAAGCAGAGCCGAGGGAAGCCAGACAGAGCCGGCTGCATGCTGCAATTCCATTTATGTCCCCTGTCCGGCTGAGGCAAACCCAGAGACAGAAAGCAGACAGTGCTTGCCGGGGCTGCAGGGGGTGGGCAGAACCACTGGTGTTGGGCACAGGGTTTCTGTCTGGGAGGATGAAAACGTTCTAGAATTAGACAGGGATGATGGCTGCACAGCATTAGTGCACGAAACGCCACGGGTTTGTATACTTTATAATGGTTAAAATGGTAAATGTTGTGTGTTAGGGGTATTTTTGCACAATTCCTAAAACAAAAAGAGTTTCCCCAGGATAATACTTTCCATACAAGGCCCATTTATGTTTCTTCATAAGACACTTCCCTAACGAGTTTTAGTAACTGGCCCTCTGACAGCCTACGGGAGTCCGACTGGTCACAGTAGCCACCGGAGGGCTAAAGCCACGTGGCGGCCACGCGGCTGTGGGACCAGGGAGGTGAGCGCTGCAGCCCAGCCCGATGCAGGTAGTGCCACCCTTACCTTCATGCCTTCTTCCTTCCCACTCTCGATCAATTCATCTATTCTTTTCCTTTCTTCCGACTGGGTGGAGAAGCAAGAAAAAAGAAGAGCAGGATCAGCCTTCTCCCCAGGCGGTTCTGGCTCTTTCCATGGCCTCAGCCCTGGCCGCCTAGGCCACGCCCACAGCGTCACAGTCGACATCAGTCCCCAGGGGTGCCAAGGCTCCCAGGCACCTTTCTCCTTTTCTTATCACCCCTATGTTGTGGATGATCTGTCACCTGAGGTTCAACTGGACTGGGAGGGACACAGCAGTGGCCCAAAGGCAGAATGGGGCTTGTAGGTATGTTCTGTTTGGCCCACACAGCGTTTTAAAAAATGTCCAAATTGGCCAGGTGCAGTGCCTCACACCTGTAATCCCCCAAATCCCACTTTGGAAGGCCGAGGTGGGAGGATCACTTGAGGCCAAGAGTTCAAGACCAGCCCAGGCAATACAGTGAGACTCTGTCTCTACAAAAAGCTAAAAAATTAGCCAGGCGTGGTGGTGCATGCCTATAGTCCCAGCTCCTCAGGAACCTGAAGCAAAAGGATTGCTTGAGCCCAGGAGTTCAAGGCTGCAGCGAGCTATGAATTGGGCCACTGCACTCCAGCCTGGGTGACAGAGCAAGGCCAAAGTGAGACTGTCTCAAAAGAAAAAAATGTACAATCACTGACATCCAAAAAGCAGGACTCTGACTTCACATAAAATCAGCTATGACAGATTAGAGGCTACGCCCTTGGAACGGGACATGTGTGCCACGTCCCTCCTCTCTGAGGGCCCCGCCAGACGTCTGTTTAGGATCTCTGAGCTCCATCTTTCCAGAAGCCACCGCCAGGGAGGAGAAGAGGGCCCCCCACCTGGAGGGTCAGCACAGCCCTGTGTCACCTCTTCCACAGGGCCCCCCTTCCTGCTCCTACCTCTGTCCCTAACCCAGGTCCCCCCCCCCCCCCCGTGGGCGCACAGGACACCAGGGAGCAGAGGGGACTATACAAAGACATACCAGAAGCCCCAGACCAGCGTGGCTCACCAGCATGGAGCGCCACGGGACCGGGTGACGTGTGTGGGGGGACGGCCCCAGCCGCCCGGCTCAGATCCTCCCCACGCGGAGGCCAAAACCAGCTCACAGCTTCTCCAGCTACTCAGTCCACATCTGCAGTGTGCCAGGCCCCATGGTACTTCGGACACTGGTGAACAGTGACCTCAAGGACAATCCCCGATCCAGCCACCTCCTCTCTGTGCCTGCTGCTGCCCTCCGGCAGAGCCGCGGCCAGCTGGCCGCTCTCCTGGCTTCCACGCCGACCCCGCACACTCCAACATCCACAGACGTGAAGGAGATCGTGACATTTCCCTGCTCAAGGCCTCCCAGTGGGTTTACTTAATAGCAATGCACCAATGTTGGTTCCTCAGTGGTGACAAATTTACCCCGGCAAATTAACAGTTAACAGTGGAAGAAGGCGGGTGAAGGGTGCTATGGGAACTCCCTGTACTACCTTTGCAACTTTTCTATAAGTTTAAATTATTCCAGAATGAAAAGTTATTCAAACAAAAGGCTTCCTGCAGCTTCTCACTGCCACTGAGATAAAATTCAAACCTTTCCTGACGGTTTAGCGGTTCTGTAGGCCACAGACCCTGCCGTCCTCAGCCTCATCTACCACCCTGGCCCACACGCACACCCTCAGCCATGACTGCTGGCTGGTTCACAAGGCCAAACTTCTTCCTGCCTCAGGGCATTTGCACTTGCTGGTCCCCCTGCCTGGAGTGCCCTGTCCCCGATCTATTTGCCTGGCTTGACCCTCACTTCCTCAGAGAAACTTCCCTGACTACCATGGCTAAAGGAGCCTTAGCCTAGCCATCCTACCAGACCACTCTGTTTCATAAGACTAATGACGAAGTCCTGTCCAAAATTATCTTGTTCTTTTAGTTATCTTTATTAATCACTCTGCACTTGAATAGAAGCTCCGTGAGCACACAGAGTCCCTGCAGGGGCCTGACCTAGCTTACTGTGGGACCTCCTGGCCTAGAGCAGTGGCAGGAAGTAAGCCCTCCAAGCACCAGCACACACACGCCACTGCCTTGCTGCGCGATCAATTCGCTGCAAGTGTGCAGAGTCCTGGGGAACGTGGTGGCCTCTGTAAACGGGAGCGGTGCTGGGAAAACCAGGGCGCCAACTGGGGATTTTCCTGCTGGGACCGACCGCAGCACGGAAGAAATGAGCTGGGGCCAGGCTGGACGCCCAGAGGCACGGCCAGGGAGGCAGGGGCTCCCGAAGGCCAGAACTCGGGGCACGCCGACCGCCAGCTCTGGGCTTGCTAAAGGGAAACTGGCAGCAGCCCACAGCCGGGCCTAGAGGCAGATGGACTGGCAGGGACGCAAGGTCGGAACCAGGCGGGTGAGGGGGGCCTGTGCATAGGAAGGAGGGGACCTTCCCCACATGGAATCAGCAGGTCGCTGTGCGTGTCGGGCCTGGGGCTGAGCTGGGGTTGAAGACACCGGGGCATTGCCAACAGGCACGGTTCCCGGCCCAGTGCTGGCCGCCACCCGACCCGGAGCCACACCAGCCAGCGAAGGGGCCCCCGCAGGGAAGTGCCAAGGGGTTCAGCAAAGCTCTCCAAGGCTCACCCTGTGCCCAATCTCTGCAGCCCAGATGCCACCCTGTCGCCTTGGACCTGGACCCTGCACCTAGACCCCGCTCCGCCCACTGTCTTCAGACTCAGCGAGGTCTCTGAGAAGCTACAAGTTTCAGCTTCACTCCTGACCACCCGGCCCAGAAGGGCAGTCAGGTCCGGACTGACCTGTGGCCCGGCTGCCCTGCCCTGGGCTCTCTGCAGTCAAGAGAACACACTGAGTGGGGGGAGGAGGCAAAAAAGAAAAAAAAAAAATACTGTCCTGGCCAGCCACAGGCCCTGTGTCCCAGCCAGTTACAGCCATCAAAGCCAGCCAACACAGCCCGACTGCCATGGTGTTCGCTCAGCAGGGCCAACACAAACAGTGGGGGACACAGCTCTCGCTCACAAATGGCTCTCCGTCCGGGAACAGAGCGAGTTTTATTGTGCCTGCAGACCATGCTCCGGGGACCCGAGCCCTGCCCTCCGCTCCTCTGCTGCCAGACTGAGCAGACTGAGTCCTGGCCCGCTGCAGCCGCCACTCCTCCCCGCAGCGAGCCGGGCTTCTCACCAGCGAGGCAGGCAGCTGCCCCCACCCCACCCGGATCCCACGCGGCCCCGGGCGAACCTCGGCAGAGGCTGCTGTGTGGGCGCTGCGGCTCCGAGCCGGCTGGGAGGCGGCCCGGGTTCTGCGGCCTGGCACCGCCCCGCCCTCTGCAGTGCCGTCTGGAAGAGTGACCCAGCACAGCCTGCCGCTGCCGGCGAGCGTTTTATAACAGCTCGCTCCCTCTTGGCGGAAAGACACTGCCTTTTTCAGGATATGAAGCCAAAAGCTGTTCTCTGGGGGGAGAAAACGGACCCCTTTTTTGGTTTCTTTTTTTAAAATGAAGTTTCATCGATTAAAAGAAGGAGAAACAATGAACACTGGACCACTGTGTATCTGGATGTTTAACATTTAAAATGCTGAAGGAGTTTACTGAGGATTGAAACCCTAAAACTGCCCGAGCCGGGGTCCCCAGCTCTGTGGGCAGGAGCAATCTCGAGCACGGCTCCCAAGCCAGGCGGTCGCCGTTGGGGTGTGGGAGAGTGGAGGGGCTGCCCCAGTGTCCCTGAGTGGGAGGGACCTGGCCTCGCCCTGGGTTTCCTCCTTAACAGAAAGGCAACAGCCACACCTCATTGCACCAAATATTGACGGACCGCTGCATAGCTCAGCCCTTTGCAAACACGGCAGCGGAGGCCTGCGCTGCCAGCTGCCTTTCCCACCAGTGTTCCCTCCGTTCCGCATGTTCCTAGCGATGACAGCCGGGGGGAGGGGGCAGAGGGCAGCAACAGCACAGGGAGACAACAGCACAGGGAAACAATGGTGACGACAGTAACGGTTAACTGGCGCTTGCTGTGTGCCAGGCATTGTTCTAAGCGTTCTGTATGTGTGAACACATTTAGTACTCCACCCAACAAGCCCACCAGGTACTACGTCACCATGCCATTTTACAGACAGGAGAGCCAGGGCAGAGAAGGTAAGTGACTGGCCTAAGGTCACATAACCAGTAAGCGGCTCCAAGCCACTGCTCCTGACCACCCTGAGCCACAACATGGAAACTTCCAGACAACAGACAAGACAAGCCTCTGCAAGAATGGGTAGCCTTCCCCACGGTCCCAGGCTCCAGTGGCCCTGCCAACAAGGACTGGAAAAGCCACCGTCACAGTAGTGCCTGGCTTCCCATGCCACATACTACAAGGTCCAGGGCTCCCTCACAGAAGTGTCATCACCAAACCTCACAGTGATCCCATCAAAAAAGCAGAACAGGCCAGGCGCGGTGGCTCACGCCTGTAACCCCAGCACTCTGGGAGGCCGAGGCAGGAGGATCACTTGAGCTCAGGAGTTGGAGACCAGCCTGAGCAAGAGCGAGACCCCATCTCTACCAAAAAAGGAAAAAACTAGCTGGGCATGGTAGCACATGCCTTTAGTCCCAGCCACCTGGGAGGCTGAGGTAGGAGGATGGCTTGAGGCCTGGAGTTTGAGGCTATAGTGAGCTGTGATGATGCCATTGCACTCTACCGGGGGTAACAGAGTAAGACTCTGTCTTAGGGGGAAAAAAGACAAAAATACAAGGCAGAGCAAACTGTGATGACCCCCGATAGACTAAGGAGGAAACCAAGGCCAGAGAAGCCAGAGACTTGCCCAGAGATGACACAAGCGAGGCTGCGGACGCGCAGGTCTAGCACTGCCCCCCGGGCACCCCTGCCCCTCCAAGAGCCGAATCAAAACCAGGTGACTCTACCTGCAGCTCAGCTTTGCTCTTCCTGGAGCTCCTTCGGACAGGGTAGAAATCCGTGAGTTTGCGATTCTGTTGCGTTTTTCCTTGAGCTCTGGGTGAGAAGGGAAGAGAAAATAAACATTAGGACTGAAACTACGCTCCCAGCTGGGAGGCTCACAACTGCTTAGGAGGCAGTTCTTGCAAAACGGTGCCACTTAAACACCTCTGTCCACTGGAGCCTGGTGGTTACCCAACTCACCAGCCCATGAGGGCCTCGGAGTGTTTTGAAGCCAGGATGCTTACTCTCGTCTCGGGGGGGCAGGGAGGGGAGGCTCTTGCATTCTGGACCCGAGCCAGACTGAGTTGCTGACAACTAATAGCATCACTGACAGCGTCTCTGGGAGTCTGAGGCTTTGACAGAGAGAGGCTGAGAGGTGACCACTTAGCCTGAGCGGGACACCTGAGCATGCTTCCCTAAGGTCAGAAAACCCAAACTGCTCTGGATTGGGAGGGGGACTCCCGGGGACACTCACTTTTTCCGAGGGACTTGTTTGCCCTTGATGGGCTTTTTCAGGGCTTGCTTGGCGACGGCTGCATTGGTAGGATCACAAGACGAGGTTGGAGTTTTTGGAGGTTCTGCTGCTTCGGATTTTTGGTTTGGAAAAGGTGCCAGGGGACCTCTCCTGGCGTCTTTGATCTTCTGTTCCTCGGACTTCGTGGTATTCCGTATTGCATTCCCAGAATTTCTTTTCTCTGCAGGCAGAGAGAGGGAAAAGACCAGGGGTTATTCTATACTGTCTCCCCAATCTAGACCTTAAGCTGTGTTCTAAGACAGGCTTTGAGAAGAGAGGGCCCTGGGTGTGCCAGGCAGGAGGGTCCTCCACCTACTGAGCCCTGTGTCCACTAGCGGCTACCACAGGAGTGAGTGGCTCCAGCTCCACTTATTATTTTAGAGACAGGGTCTTGGTCTGTCATCCAGGCTGCAGTACAGTGGCCTAATCATAGCTCACTGCAGCCTCCAATTCGTGGGCCCAAATGATCCTCTTGTCTCTGCGTCCCAAGTAGCTGAGACTACAGGCATGTACAACCCCACCCCAATTTTTTCCACTTTCTTTTTCAGAGACAGGGTTTTGCTCTGTCACCCAGGCTGGAGTGCAGTGGTGCCATCTTAGCTCACTGCAGCCTCAAACTCCTGACCTCAAGAGATCCTCCCACCTCAGGCTCCTGAATGGCTGAGCTGGTACCACCACACTGGGCTCAGTTTTTCATTTTTTTTTGTAGAGATGGGGTCTCCCTTTGTTGCCCAGCTAATCTTGAACTCATGGCCTGAAGCCATCCTTCCACCTTGGCCTTCCAAAGTGCTGGGATTACAGCTGTGAGCCACTGCACGTGCCTCTAGCTCTACTTTTTGCCAGAGATACTAGACAGAGGTTTTGGGCTTCTGCATCCTGATGCTGGAGAGCCTGCAGGCAGAAGCACCACAGCCAGCAACGCTGATAAGAGCGCTCCATATACAGCTTTCTGGAATTAGGCTGCAGACTCGAGATCAAAAGCTCAATGCTTAAAGAATGAGCCAGCACTGGGGACGGGACTAAGGAGACAAAGCAGAAACTCTCCCGGAAGAGCTGCCTGGCTTGCTTCATTTCAGACTCTTACAAAAAGTCTCCCCTTCCAGTGGGATTGAAGCCCCAGGTTCACAGTGGTTCCCGGCATGGCGCCTGGGCAGACTGGTCCGTGTGTTTTGAAGCACACTGTAAACGATCTGTTACTGAAAGCACTTGTGGAGTCCCAGTGCTGGTAAACGATTTGCTGGTTTCTTTATAAATGATCTACTTTTTAAAAATAATAAGGCTGGGCACAGTGGCTCATGCCTATAATCCCAGCAATTTGGGAGGCTGAGACAGAAGGATTGTTTGAGGCAAGGAGTTCGGAGACCAGCCTGGGAAACACAACAAGACCCTGTCTCTACAAAAATAAAAAAATTAGCCAGGCATGGTGGCATGTGCCTGTAGACCCAGCTGCTCAGGAGGCTGAGGCAGGAGGATGGCGTAAGCCCTGGGGTTTGAGGTTGCTTTGCGCTATGATGACACCACTGTACTCTAGCCCAGGCAACAAAGTGAAACACTGTCTCAACAGAAAAAAAAGAAAGAAGAAAAAGGTAAGTAATGCCCTATAATACACTCACTGCTGGCAGATGTAAAATGGTGCAGCCACTTTGGAAGTCTGGCAGTTACTCAAAAAGTTAAACATAGAGGCCAGACACGGTGGCTCACGCCTGTAATCCTAGCATTCTGAGAGGCCGAGGTGGGTGGATTGTTTGAACTCAGGAGTTCAAGACCAGCCTGAGCAAGAGCGAGACCCCGTCTCTACTAAAAATAGAAGAAATTAGTTGGACAACTAAAAATATATAGAAAAAATTAGCCGGGCCTGGTGGCGCATGCCTGTAGTCCCAGCTACTAGGGAGGCTGAGGCAGAAGGATCGCTTGACCCCCAGGAGTTTGAGGTTGCTGAGTTTGAGTGCTGACGCTACACCACTCACTCTAGCCCAGGCAACAGAGTGAGACTCTGCCTCAAAAAAAAAAAAAGTTAAACAGAGTTACCATATGACCCCACCAATTTCACTCAAGAGAATTAGAAACATATGTCCACACAAAAATCTGCACAGGAATGTAGCAGCTTATTCCTAATAGCCAAAAAGTAGAAACAACCCAAATGTCCATCAAGGGATGAATGGGTAAACAAAATGTGGTCTGTCTATACAATAGGATGTTACTCAGCCATAAAAAGGAATGAAGTGCAGATACATACTTCAAGGATGAACCTTGAAAACATGATGCAAAGTGAAAGAAGCCAGAAACAAAAGACTGCATACTGTGTGATTACATTCATACAAAATAAGAATAGGCAAACTCATAGAGACAGAAAGTAGTTTAATGGTTGCCTTGAGCTGGAGGATGGATGGTGAATCCTAATGGGCACAGGGTTTCTTTTTGGGGTGACAAAAATGTTCTGGTGTCAGACAGTGATAATGGATGCATAACTCTGCAAACATACTAAAAAACCACTGAATCATAAACTTTTAAACGATGAACTTTGTATGTGAATTGTATCTCAACACACCAAAGAGAAAATTAACTAAATACATCAAACCTATTCAGATCATTTTTACTCCTTTATACACCTTCTTGGGTGGAGCCAGAGGAACTTAAGGCCAGGATGTCATGCATACTCCTGGGAGTGTGTGGTGCTGGTGAACTGTCCTATCAGTCAGAGTCATGGACAAGAGCCTGTGGGGTCTCCGAAGTCCATCTGACCCAATTCTAATCACAGCAACACCATGAGCCGAATGAGCTACTTTTGTGCCATATCACCATTTAGGACAATGCACATTCTGCCCCATTCCCAAAGGATGTAAGACTGGCCAACTACCATTTCTAGAGAGAACCCTTTCCCCACCCCTATGTGGCAGTGCTAACCTAAGTGCTGCACCTGCAGGGACAATTGACGATGTGCGCCTCACGGTCCAGCAGGGGAAGGGCCAACACGTGGAGCACGTCACACAGCCCTTTGGCATTCATACCCTTCAGAATTGCCCTGTGTGTGAGGTCAGACTCCTTATTCTCCCAGTTTACAGATGAGAGACCTGAGGCTCAGAAAAGGGTACCAAGCTGCTCAAGCCTCCTTTCTGGTGGCAAAGTTAGGACTGGAACCCAAGTCATGTGAGGACCAAATGAAATAACATCACTCTGTGCACCAAGGGAAATCAAGCCAAAGGAGGGCTCCTGCCCCCAGTTCAGGGCTTCCCTAGCCCTGATTCTCAGATCTGGCCCCAGAGGTGAGGCCAAATCATCACTTATGACACTTTCTGTTAGCGAACACAAGGCTTCCTTATATGGAGCTGTTGGCAGCCAGAGGCTCTGCGTCTTTCCGACAAGTTTTAATTAGAAGGGAGCATGGTGAACTGGGGAAGGCTCACACACCCCACTGCAGCTTTGAAAGGGAATATTTGGATTAGAGCAAGATTGCTAAGAGGTTTCAGTTTGTTTTGCAGGTCCAGGCAAAGTTTTCACAAACTGTGTATTTTCTTGTCCAATATTTTAACTCTAAATCTCATTGCAGAGTATGCTGCTTCAGAGAACAGCACTGAACGCTTGAGTGGAAAGAAACTTTAGAAATGGGGTCAAGGCCAGCTCACAAAAGGGAAGGAAGTCAGTTCCCTGCAATCGCCTGGTCTGTACAACCTGGACTCATTATTTCTGCACTTTTAGCACTTGTGAGCCTCGCTAATTACACGTCAGGTGTATTTTTTTGCAACTTGGCTAGAAAATCAAGCTTGAAGGACATGCTAACTCTTATGAAAGCAGGAAGAACCTGTCAGACCAACAGGGCACACACCCTGGAACAGGCCCTTCTTTAGCAGCAAGACAGAATACAGCTCAAACCTCTCGAACATGGAATTGAAGAGGCTGGATAAATATATACTATATATGCATTCCTACGGAGAAGAGGTTTCTGCAGCCACCAGCTGTGATTAAAACAAGGCCATTGTGGAGGCTTACCTTCCCGTTTCCTGTAGATTCCGGCGAACGGTTTCCCCTGGCATTTGACATCGTGAAGTGCAACTGAGTTCTCTTCCTGAAGGGGGGAACGCATTCCAGAGCATTTGTTCGGGCTCATGTAGGAATAGATCTTTGATTGCCCGGTAAATACGTTCTCCTAAAAAGACAAATGCATATTCTGAAAGAGGCTTGAAGAAGAAGAAGATCCTATAGCATTTAAGGGGACAAGGGGACACGAGAATACAAAAGACAAAAATCACACATCATCATCTCTCAAAAACTGAGCTACTATAGAATGCCAGCCCCAGTTCTCTCAGGTTTAGAATCTCAGGTCTAAGTCAATGTGTTTCTCGAACACATGGGTCTCTAATTTCGGTCACTAAGGGGACATGTGGCCAGCTGGAGAACCAGCTGCACACAAAGGTCTGTATAGGAAGGAGACAACCTACCAGCAGCGGGGAGGTCAGAATGACCTAAAGGGCCGGGCCAAGCTTAGGAGTCAACTCCCCTGGCAGGAGCCTTGGTGACTCTAGCTCAGAAACAGGCCTCAGGGAACCCGATTAACCACCGGGTGCTGAGGGCAGCTGGGAGGGCTTGTCAGAACTGCCCGAGCCCTCCCCACTGCCCGAGCCTGGCCCAGGAGCCTCCCCGCACTGCGGTGGGAAGGAAGACTTCTCTCGGGGCGACTGGAGGAAGCTAATGAAAGCAGAGGCTACAGCCAGCGCGTTTAGGGCGGGCGGTCACTCCGCTGCAAAACCGCACCTTGGCGTCGGTAAGGGAGTGGGCAGGCCGGTGGGGCGGCTCAGGTCACTGCTGGCGTCTCTGGGTGTGGGGCCTCTCCTCTGAGCGAGCAGACAGGAGGGCTTCCCCAGAAACAATGCTAGAGCCTCGCTGACCCATTAAACACCGAGTCAGCGAGACCGTGACCTCTCCAAGGGACCCGGGCAGGCCCCGCGCACCCTGGGAAGGCAGCCACCTCCGGGCAAGCTGGGTCTCGGGGTGTGCAAATGCCATAAAGGCACCGTCAAACTTTTCCGAGGTCAAACGCCGCCAGAGTCATGGCGGAGGCGAGTGTGCACGCCACTCCCAGCCAGGCGGCAGAAAAGGAAGCTGCCCGGCGGCCGGGCGCCCCTGGGCGGCGCGGCGGGGCCGGGGGGCGCCCACGTGCTCGCGGCCCCGGCCGGGCGGCGCGCCGCGTGAGTGCGGGGAGGGTGCCTGCTTACCCCGTCGGTGCGGGGCCTCCCCGGGCCCCTCCGCTCCACCATCTCCGGGCCCGGGGCCGTCGCTGCCACCGCCGCCGCCGCCGCCGCCGCCTCCACCGCGCGGGGCTTGGACATCTTCCTGCCTGGAGAGGGGGACCCGGGGGAAGCGGGGGAGGGGGCGCTCAGGCGCGGGGGCGGGAGCGGGGCCGCCCGGGCGGCGCCGCGGAGGCGCCTCCCGCCGCAGCCATGTTTCGAGGCCCGGCGGTGGTGGGCCGCCCGCGCCGCCGGGAGCAGGGGCCGGCCGGCGTCGGGCCGGGGCCGCGTCGCCCTCCCGCCGCCCGGCCGGCCGGCCCCGCGCGCGCCGCCCCCCGCGGCCGGGCCCGACACACCCACCTGCAGCCCGGCAGGCCCATGGCGACGCGCCCCGCGCCTCGGCGCCGGCGCCCGGCACCACCGCTGCCGCTGCCGCTGCTGCTGCTGCTGCCGCCGCCACCAGCGCCGCCGCGGCGCCCCGGGGAAGGGCCGGCGGCGCCCCACGGCGCCCCCTTCCCCCATGGCCTCGAGGCAGGGCCCGGCTCCCGCGCGCCGCGGCAGCCCCGGGCCGCCCGGAGCGAGGTCGCAGGGAGGGAGGCGCTGGCAGCGCGTCCTCCGCGGCCCGCCCGCCCGCCGTCCGGCTCCGGGCCCGGGGAGGGGCTGGCAGGGGCGGGCTGCGCGGCTCCGCGGGCGGGCGGGCTGCGCGGCGGCGGCGAATCCCGGCTCGGGCGCGCCCCCTCGCGCGCGTCCTCAGCCACTCGGGGAGGAAGGGGTGGGAAACATGATAATGACGGCCAGGCTCTCGGCCGGCCGGCTCCTTCTCTCGCTGGCTCCTGGGATATTTTGGGAGCCGGGACGGCGCCAAGCGAAACCAGCAGCGGCGAATGCGGCAGGCCGGGGCCCTCGGGTGTGCCTGGAGCTGTGCTCCGGAGCGCTTTATAGGCGTTTAGCCCTGCCCGCAAGCGCAAGGGAGCCAGGTCCCGCTGGCATCTCCGTTTAAGACGGTGATTCTGTGGTTCAAAAGACATGAGGGGTTTGCACAAGGCCACAGATCTAGGAAGTGATGGGGCAAGTGTCAAACCCAGGCGGGCTGTCTTAACCGGCAGGAGACCCTGGGGAGACAGAGCCGGTGGGTTACAATGACAAGTTTTGCTGGGTGCTTCTCTTGCGTATGCTATCTCATTCAAACCTCACAACAACCTTATTAGGGTAGATACCATTATTATCTCTCTTCTACAGATGGGGAAAGCGAGGCTCTGAGATACATGGAGTTTGGCCAAGTTCTCAGAAATAGATGGGTTTTCAGCTCAGGCCACCTTGGCCGCAGAGCCTGCACTCCCAGCCACTACCCTTCCCGGTTACAGATGAGGCCATTGAGGTTGGGAGGAGCAAATGGTGTTGCAGAATGGTTTAGCAAGTCATCCTGTACTCCTGTCCCCTCCATGAGAAAATGTCCTATAGGTAGGGTTTCAGTCACTCTGGAGGCTGTCTCAGCATGGTTCACTGCCCTGGGCCACTGTGCTGTAGCCATCAGGGCTGGTGGGCCCATAGCCAAAGACTCACTGTATTTATGCAAAGTCATAGGTGCAAACAAGACTACAAGGTATCCAGATCCTGCTGCCTGGGTGGTGGCCTGGGAGTCAGGGACTGGGTTTCTCTCCCTACATCTACCCAGAGGTGCTTTGTGACCAAGGTTAAGTCACTTCCCCAGCCTGGGACTCAGCATCCTCGTAAGTAAAAACCAAGAACCTTGAATTCCATAATCCACCCACGGCACCTTCTAATATCCACAGATAAACAAATGGCTGTTTATAGCTGCTTCTCCACCTCACCTCCCATTAACAGGAATAAAACTGAGTAGGATTAAGTGACAGGATTGACTGCTCAGGACAATCCCTCCTCCTAAATTAGCTCACGCATTAGCATCTTTCAAGGCAGGGTCCCCACCCCAACCACTAACAGCAGTGGGGAAGGGTACTCACTCTGCCTGTGCCTTCTGTAGAAACTATGACACCTGAATACCCAAGGGACAACTCACAGGGTGGAAGAGGATTTGAAAGTGACACTCTGATACCCAGGCTGAGCTATTTGAAAGTGTCTTCTACATCTGCAAGGCCAAGAAGTTTTGCAGTTTTTTGCCAAACTACCATGAGAATCATGGTTTTGGAGCAGGAAGCAGCCACACAGATCATCTTGTCCATTTCACATACTATTTTAATACCCTCCAGCATGGCCATAGGTATTTCTGCATCTTAGCTCCCAAATGCAGGAGATACATTGCAAGCTAAGCACCCATTCCTCTCAATGCTGCAGCTGTAGTATAAAAGCTCTTAATGTTGCCCAGGATTTCACAGAAATATAACTCAACAGCAACAATACTATTCACTAACACTTATTGAATGTTTACTACGTGCTAAGACTGTAAGACTGCATTATTTGATTTAATCTTCCCATCAACTTATGAAAGGATACTATTATTCCTATTTCACAGATGTGGAAATTGAGGCTCAGGGGAGATGAATCATTTGTCTAAGAGTTATATGACTAAGCAGTGATGACCCAGTTCTGCTGTATCAGGGTACTTTACCATAAACAATGTATATTGCTTCTCTCAAATTCAAACACTAACATACTCATTCATTTGTTCAACAAACATTTATTGAATACATGCTTTGTTCCAGGCCCTGTGCTAAGGACACAACAGTGAACATATGGAGAGACAGAGCATGGTGAGGCAAGAGTGGTCAGTAGGACCCTGTAGGCCATGGTAAGGATTGTGGACTTGATCCTAAGAGCAAATGGGGGTGGAGAGGAGTAGTGAGGGTCACATGATAAAAATCTGTCCTCTTGGGACCACTCTAGCTGCTAATGGATAATGAATTGGAGACAGCAAAAGTGAAAGGAGGGAAAGGAAATAGGAGGCCATTCAATGGTGGCAGTAGAGATGGCCCCTCAAACTAACATACTCAGGATTGTAAATGTTTACATAATTATAAAACTTCAAAACCAGAGGTGAGTTGCCTGGTATCTGAACAGTCTGTTCATGTTACCCAGCAGGGCTCTCAAAGTGAACTCCAAATTTGGAACAAAGAGTAATTTTCTAGGCGAAAAAGACTGACCATTCATTTGAAGTGCTGTAAATGATTTGGTATTTACAATTCTAAATATCCAATTTAATAGTTTGTCAGGGTAATGAAGCCTAAGAAACAAGTAACTACTAATTTGGAGGTCAAGTAAGACAGTGAGAATCATTAACCAATAATTACAAAGGGGATTTGTAAGCCTGCCATGGTAGAAGCTGGAAAACATTCATCTTCACTTTGGCTAAGTAAGGGAGGAAGGGTGGAACAAAGAAAGGCACGCCATAGCTAGGGTCTGGACAGGGACGGTGGACTTCAGGCTTCTACCTCGGAAAAATGGGAACAACAATTTGTAAAGATTAACTGAGAGGGACTGAGTGTGGGGGCTCACACCTGTAATCCCAGCACTCTGGGAGGCCAAGGTGGGAGGATCCCTTGACTTTAGGGGTTCAAGACCAGCCTGAGCAAGAGCAAGACTCTATCTCTACTAAAAATAGAAAAATTAGCAGGGTGCAGTGGCCCATGCTTAGTCCGCACCGGGAGGCGAGGAGGACGGATTTCTGAGCCCAGGAGTTAGAGGTTGCAGTGAGCTGCAATGATGCCACTGCACTACAGCCTGGGCAGCAGAGTTAGACTGTCTCAAAAAAAAAAAACATACTTGAGATAATTAAGTGCTGGCCTCAATGGGGTATGTTCGTAGAGCTATATACTACTAGTATAGTACTGGATATGGTATAGAATGTATTTATCCATTTTTAAGTATTCCAATTGTAATTTCCCCCCATAGATTAATTAAAGCAACCTTTTTTTTCTTTAAAGGCACTGCTTCTGAATACGTTTAATGATTTTGCGAGTGTCGGAAATGAACAGGATGTCTTATAAAGATTTTCGAGAGATTTAAATATACCTTTAGATGCTTAACACTTTCCTAAAGAAAAATATTGGTCTGAGTTTTTTCTCTGTGAATTTGGTGATGAAGCTCTTTAACCTGAAGTTCACTGTGCCTCGTTTCTTCATCAGGACCTGGGTAAGTCTTTTCCCAAAAGACCCTACAGGAATCCTGGGAGAATATATGATGCAACTAGGTGCAGGGCCTGAAAACAAAGGGGCCCAATAAATATTTGCTGAATGAATGAATCATATTATTATTGCTATAGGCAGCGTACTGCATTAAGGCAGATTCCTACTAACACGTGATTCCTTGGAATCTTGAGGAATATGTCACACCTCAACTTATTTTTTAAAAATAATAATTCTGCTCAACTGTCACGCTCAAGTTTCTGGCCCTTTAGCGCGAAGGAGACAGTGGCTGGAAAGGACCAGCGGCTGGAGATGTCTTTGCCGCATGGCGTGGAGATGCGCTGTCCTGACAGCAAACTAAGTATGCGAGGAAGGACTTCAGGCAGGGACGTCGCCTCTCGCGGCGGTCCAAGCCCACTCAAGCCATCCCCCGTGGGCGGAAGTCCCGACCAGCTTCGGGGCGAAGGGCCGTCCCCGCGAGGTGCCAGGGACCCGTTTCACCCCGGACCGCGCCCGCGGGGCCCGGGCCTCGCCCCGGCGGCGAAGAGCTGACTCAGGGCGTGGGGAGGGAAGGCAGGTGCCCGCCGCGGCGTGCGCTCCGACGCGCTCCCCAGGATGTAGGTTACGATCCGCGCCCTAGCCTGGGGGTCACCTCCAGTCCCGACGCGAGAGCGCCCCGGGTGGGCGCAGCCCCGCTCTCTCCCCCGCACTTGCATCGGTAACCACCATCCCCTGGAGCCGCCCGGCGCTTTAGTTTCCAAAGAGCTTTGACACCCGGATCCGCTGCTTCTGGAGAGGAAGGCCAGCGGATGCCCACACCTCGGAGAGGGGAAACCGAGGCACGGCAGTGGGAGGGGCTTCTGGGGGCTTTGGAAGCCGGCGGGGGGTGCCGGGCGGGGAAGGTTCCGCCGCAACCCCCCCTCCGTTCTCCCCCCTCCCACGCGGGTCCCCGCGCTCCGCCCGAGCCGCCCGCAGGAGGGCGCGTCCCCACCGCCGCTCCCGCCACCCCAGCCTCCCTCCAGAGCGACCCCCGAGCCAGCCGCCCCGGTGCTGGCCACTGGGCAAATACCTCTAGCCATGGCCCGGCTCAGCCACCGCCTGGGATCTCCCGGGAAACCGAGCTTTCGAAAAAAGTTGCAACAACTGTAGCCAACTGCTCCACCGAGCTCCAGCTGCTCTCCCTGATTGGCGCCGCTGCCCGCCTCTCTGCAGGCTGCCGGTCGTGATAGGCGGAGTCGGAGGGAGAGCCCGCCCTTCTCTCCGCCTCCTCGTCGGGGGCGGGGCCAGCGGCCTTACTTTCTACAAACGCTTTCAGGACAGGTCCCGGCGGAGGAGGTGGGAGGGGGTTTAAATTTGACCGTCTCCCGCCGTTGA